CTATCTCTGAGGGGCCTGAGGGGACACGTGCATCCTATAAGTAACATGGACCCTAAGCTATGTTTTCCCAGCCTCCTCCACCCCGCCCACCCCAGGGTCTCCACACTGGGGACTTCTGACCAGAAGTACAGGTCCAGGGAAGGTGTGACTGCCCCGAGGGCTGCCTGGGTGGGCATCTTAGGGAGGTGCTGGCTCTAGACTAAGCCAGCAAGTGTGCCACCTCCCAGCAGGGACAGGTAAGAGGGCAGGAATGCATCTCACAGCAAGGACAGGATTGGGATTCAAGGTCAAGGCTTAGCAGCTGAGTGGTGATGGTCACAGGAAAGGCTGGGAAGTTACACATATGCTGTCCATCCTCCCTGACCTGGAGCCCACCAGGGACAGAACAAAGGGCAGTCACGGCGACCTGAGGCAATACCTGCCCCTGCTCTCCTACCTCCCCAGCCTGGGGCACCCCCACACACACAGTTCTGTCCCTCCTATGAGGCCTGCAACATGACTCCAGAAGACAAGAGGTAGAAAGGAGCTGGGATGGGAGCCATGTCGTGGGTTCTGACAGTCCCAGGACAAGTGCGTGGATGTGGTCCTGGAGGGGGACAGAGGTGAGGGCTGAAGTCTCTGGAAGGTCCCCTCCTTCCTTCTGGCACAGGCCACCCCCTCCTGCCGCACACATGTCCAAGTGACCTCCTCAGCTCTTACAAGCACCGGTCCCAGAGCATCTGCCACATCCACGGAGCCCAGCAGTGCTGCAGACAGCCGGGAAGAGCAGGGTGTCTGCTCACAGCAGCTGGCTTCAGGCGCAGCCTCCATCCTCCAGTTTTGACACAGCAGAAGCAGCAACGTCACAGGACACAACAACTTCAGTTCTTTCTGGGGCGGTAACCCAAGCACAGGCCCCCAAGGAGACCTTTTGCCCCCTGTGCTCTGGTAGCATGGGGCTCCACACTGCTCAGTGTCAAACAGTTTGGTCCACAGCAGAGGAAGCTGACTACAGGCATGGCCAAGGGCCCAAGCAGATGAGGCAGGGGGCTTCTCTTCTGTCTCAGCCTGCCTCCTCCTGTCCCTGGCTCCTCCACTTCACCGGAGAACCTTCTCAGCTTCAAGGCTTCTACGCAGTACCCACTGGCCACACAGCCCTTCCTTATGCCCATGAGTGCAGACCCTGTCGCCTGCACCATCAGTTCCTCTCTTCACTAACACCCAGCAAATGCAGCATTTCTGCCACACTGCTCTCCCTGATAGAACATGGGCTTCTGCGGTGCAGGGACCAGGTCATCTGTTCTCTGTCCCAGAGGACAACGGCTCACTATGGTGTTGACAGAGAAGAGGAGCCCACCTAGCAATTCTGAGCCCACAGCTACAGGGGTAGGCACAGGCAGGTCCAGCTAGCCATCCTGGCCACCCTCAGCGCTTCGGCAAAGCCGACGCCTGGCAGGATGAGGCACCTGGCATGGCTGGGCAGTGCCCAAAGGGCAGTGGTGTGTGGTAGTAGCAGGGAGGCCACGGGGCCCAAGCAGTAAGGACAGGAAGGGATGTCTGGGAGGTGGATGGGAAGCCAGTTTGGTGCAGGGCAGTGGGGAGGAAAAGGACAGGGCAGTAAGAGGTTGTGGAATTGGCTACCCAGCAGGGCTGAGCCAACATCCGGATGGAGTGCAACACTCGAAAGCCGGAGAGGATGCAAGAGAAACAAGCGCACGTCTGCACTCCCAGCACACGCTGAGATGGAGCGTTATAAATCAGTGCGGGAGTGCAGAGTGCATTTGCTTCTCTTTCCTAGGCAAGAGAAACAAACTGGCCTGTGGCACTACATTGTTACCTGGAAATCTCGACACTCCCAAGTGCCCACTGTCTCCCCATCAGGCCAAAGTAATTGCACAGTCTCAACATGAAGCTTTTGAGCTTGACAAACTAAATCCACAATTCATAATTCATGCAAAAGAACATTTCATTGGGGGAGATTTGAGTTACGTTTGTCCAAATCATACAAAAACACATTATAGCTGCAGGTTGACACAGCAGAGCTCAGGAAGAGCCACCTATGGCGCCCACACAGGGAAGAGAAACGGATATCTGGTCGCCCCTGTTTGGTGAAAGATGCTTGTTGCATCTTACCCAAAAATTAGTGCTAGGCTGATTATAAAACTACGGGTAGGCGATGAAAAGAAAAACTATAGGCTAAAACACAAATGCAGGGCAACAGCTGTAGACACGTGGGCAAAGGCCACCCCTGTTCATATAATCCCATCTGGGGACAACTCCCTCAGCACTTTGGCAAAGCCAATGCCCGGCAGGATTTGGGGTCTGACGGCAGAACAAAGCTTCCACCCAGACGTTCAGGCTGCAAGGTTCTTTCTGTGTGAGGAAAGAAGGGGGCTTTAGAGTTCTCACACCCGAAAGAAAGAAATCTCCAGTGACAAGGGGCAAGAGGAAGAGCACAACTGTCACACCAGCATGTGGAGGAAATGCCTCACTCCCATATAAGGTAGGTCACTCTAACCCAGGGCTCGCCCCACTGTTAGACTGACACAACCTCCCAGGGGCACTGTCAGAATACAGACAACACTTCTTGGCAATTAACCACGGGGATGAATAAGCCAACGGTGTGTCCATACCTGTCCTTTAAAGGCTAAAGGACAACGCCCATGGCAGTAATCCTAGCCATGCCTGTAATTCCAGCTACTTGGGAGGTGGAAATCAGAGGGTAACAGTTCGAGGCCAGCCTGACCAAACACTAAGACCCCCATTTTCAACCAATAAAAAGCTAGTCCTGATGGCACCCGCCTTGCATCCCAGCTATGCAGGAAGTCATAGAAGGCTCACAGCCAGGCTGGAGGGCATGAACACAAGACCCTACCAGAGCTGTTGCTCATGTGACAGAGTGCCTGTGTAGTACAAGGTCCTGAATTCAAACCCCAGTACTACCAAAAAAAAAAGATGAGATGACCACCTGCAGGCACTGGGCACATTGAGCCTCCTGTGAAGCATGGTGATGCCATGTGCTGACGTGACGTGATGAACCAACCATGCTGTTAGAAAGTCAGGATGAAAAAGCAGCGTTAGGAGTCAATGGTGGGCTGTGTGAGGAAGAGTGTGTGCTGGGTGCACACATGCAGATGTGTGCACAGACTACAACCTAAAAGTATGGTCCTCTGAGTACGCAGAACGCTTGTCTTTGAACACTGAGATTAAGAGGGTTTTCACTCTCACTCTGACCTGCCTCCTCCTGAAACAACAAGAACCTATTCCAAACACAATCAGAACAAAAATAATAAAGCTGTTTTAATTTGGGAGAAAAAGATATTGCAGAAAAATACTTAAAGATGTAGGAAGTTACCCGTGGCCTTGTTCGCAGCACGCAGAGGACTCGCCAGCTCTGACATTCATGTGTCTGTACATGCGTGCCCACCTGGGTGTGTGCATGCCTGCATCCCTGTGCCTGGCTGTCTACATGCCTGGGTGCCTGTGTCCCTGTGTGACTGTGTCCATGTGTGCCTATATGACTGCATATATCTGTGTCCCTGTAAACCTGTGCAACTATGTCCCTGTGTGTCTATATGACTGTAACTGTGTTCCTGTGTGCCCACGTGACCATGTCCTTGCATACCTGTGTGCCTATGTCCCTGTGCCTGTGTTACTGTGTCCCTACAACCCTGCATGACTGCATTTCTGTGTGCCTGCATGCCTGGGTGACCATGTGTCCTTGAGTGTCTGTGTGCATGTGCCTGTGTCCTTGAGTGCCTGTGTGACTGTTTACCTGTGTCCCTGGGTGCTTGTGTGACTGTGTACCTGTGTCCCTGCATACCTGTGTGACTATGTCCCTGTGTGCCTGTGACCGTAACTGTACCTGTGTGGTGGTGCCTCTGCATGCCTGTGTGACTTGGTATCTGCGTCCTTGTGTGACTGTGTACCTATATCCCATATGTGCCTGTGCACCTTTGACTATGCACCTGTGTGACTGCAACTGTGTCCCTGTGTGACTACCCCTGTGTGACTGTATACTATGGCCCTGCATCTTTGTATGTCTGGGGAGGTGTGTGGGTCAGATGGGAAGGACACAGAAAGGCAGGTGATGGCCATTTCTGGTGTGGGAATAACTCGTTTGAATTTGCTTTCTTTGCTAACTTACAGAAGTATAACTTCAAATAAGAACCATTCTAGCAGCTTCCTCCTTGCTAACAGATGGAGTACAAGTGTGGTGCCTGCCCATGTCCACCCAACTACTCAGATGGGCAGTAACTCCATGCCTGAGCCTCCACCAGCAATGGCCCTCCCCTTCAGGGAGCCAGCTCACCCATGATGACTGGTGCTCAGGGACAAATGTCCAGCCCCCTGCCTCTGTGGGAGCCCCCGAAAAGCCACCACAGTAGAGCTCCAGGCAGGGTGGCCCTCTCCCTCTGCCCAGCATGCTTGCTGGCACACATCCTTGCCCAGTTGCCCCTGGGAACCTCCCAAACCCACCTTTGGGCCTGAGGAGTCCACCTTTGATAAGAGACCAAGTAAATCAGGTAAAATTATTGCTTTGGTGACCACTGACAGGCAAAGGCTGGCCAGGGCAAAGACCTTGTCTGCTTGGCCCCTCAGCCCCACAGGTTCAGCTGTCCCCTTTCAACTTGCTCTCCCAGTCTGTTGCCCAGTCACTGCTCTCAGCAGCAAACCTCACCTCTTCCCTGGACACTTTGTCACCTTCTTGCTCCTGGACACCCCCTAGCTCCATCTGCCCCTTAGGCCAAGAGATAAGTGTTGCTTCTGTCCCCACAGTTCATCTTCCTCCCATCTCCACAAAAGCAGATCTGACTCTCCAGGACAGACCCCACCCTCATTACATTTCACTGTTCCAATCCCTCTTCCCTCTCAGACCCTGTGATATCCGTGTACACCGTGCACAAACACACCCCAACACACCTGGCACATGGCAGACGCTCAGCAAGTGCACATGGAACCAAGGAGCACCCTGGATGTTGTATGGACCCTAGAACCCAGGAAAGGAATGGAGACAACTCGGCTTCTTGTCTGGGCGGGAAAGCTGGGTGGCTCCTAGGAAACTGCAGAGCCAGCCTGAGCCAGCTGGGAGCTCAGCATATCCTGACCCTTTACCTGCCTTGTCCACCAGGACTTCCACTTCCCCTAAAGCATAACGCTCCACCCAGGCCAGCTCCTGTAGATAGCCAGTGTGGTGGGCTCAGCCTACTCCAACACAGGCCCCTGGGTCCTGGACGTTGCCCAGTAGAGGCAGAGTTGGGCACAGACTTACGAACACACTGTGGGCCACTTTATTGTGAGGTTGGTGAAGGTATACTGTCGCAACAGAGGCCGCAATAGTGCAGAGATGTCCTGCATTAGGCCCCCACAGCCTGGAGCGGGCCCTGCTGGCAGGTGAGAGGTGTGTCCAGCCCTGGGCTCCTCCCTGGGCTCAGCGTCAAGTGCTGCTTCTTCGCTGACTTTCTTCCACCCGATAGCTTGTGTCCTCCGAGCGGGGCACTGGACAAGGACAGAGGAGAGCCTGGTTGTCTGGCCTGAGCAGAAGCCTCCAGAGGACATGAGGCCTGGACTGTCCCTAGCCTATCCCCAGGGAGGCCAGACCTAGGAGAGAGGACTAGAAGCCTTGTCACCTGGGTCAGTGTGTGATGATGTCCCCACCTCAACGGGCTGAACGCTTACCAGCCCTCCCCTTTGCCGGTCTCAGTGCCTGCCCGCATCACTGCAAGGGGCTGATTTTCCGTAATCACCCTTCGAAAGGTGGCCTCCCAGTCCCCCAGCCCTAACCTAGGGGCTGCGACCAGATGCAGGGTGCACCCCGCTGAGGGCGTCCATTATTAAACACCCAATTTTATAAAGGGTTCGTTGGAGGTGCACAGTGAGCAGCTTCAGGGCAGGGTCCGTGGGCTGGGCAGACCCTTCACCCCACGGAGGCAGTTCTGAGGAAGAACAGTAGCCCTGGCGTCCTCTCCCCGCACCGTTGAGGCCACTGGCCGATGGCACTGCTTACACACTGGGAGACCCTCAGAGTGCGGTCAAGGCCAGGTGCCTCCAGCTATTCCTTGGTGCTACCAGGGAGAGGCAAGTGGGGGACGGGGGCTGCTTCTAGAAGCAGACACCTGTGGACCACTCACACAGCCACGGGCGTCTGAGGGGAGGACTGGGAAGAAACTTCCAGAAGCAGCACAGAGGCCGAATGCCTTACAGTGCACAGGGACTAATGCTCCTCAGAACCCACCCCCAACCCGAGACAACAGAGCTCCCGAGGACCCATGTCCCAGTTCTGTGGGGACAGGGACATGCCCACTTTCCAGGGAGGGGCCACACGTGGTAGTCTCATCACACTCCGCTCACACGTGAAGGCCAGGCTGACCCACCCGACAGGCCCAGCCGGACATTCTGGAGAGGGCTCTCGGGATGACCGTGATTCTCAGCTTCCCCAGCCTGAGCTTTTGTCCTTGGAAGCAGCAGGCACCCCCCAAGCCTGGCTTGATCCCAGACCTACATGTGGTTATCATGTCACTGCAGTCCTTCCTGTGGAACTCCGCCCAGGCCTTGGTCTTACAGTACTTGCTGCAGGTCAGGATCCCGTAGCAGCGGGTGCAGGGCGTCAGGCGGACACCGATGGAGCGGCCACACTGGTAGCAAAACTTGAAGAAGGGCAGTCTGCAACAGATGCGCACAGACAGGTGGAGCCTGCACCCCTGCCCAGAAGCTGCTGCCTGCATCCCGTACCTGACGCTGACCGTTGGGACATTCACTCCCCACCCTTCCCACCAGACAGGGGCAGCCCCACATATGGACAAGAACATCAGGATGTTCAGCACAGTGTCTTTTAGAACAGGAAACACACACAGAGCCCAGCAAACACCCGTGTGCTGCCATGAAGGCTGAACAAGGGCAGCATGCATCCACTGGGGGCCACCACGTGGGGAAATGTCTTTGAGTAGGGCTGGTGGGGCAGAGTGGCTCCCAGGGCGGGCAGAGCTTGGGGCCTGTATTTAGGGTAAGACTCAAAGCACCAGGATGCCCCTGACACCTATACCTGTCCCCGATGCATTCATGGGTGGCGGTGTTCCCGGGAATGAGGTCAACCCCTCCACCACAGAGACCCTCTGAGAAGTCAACAGCAGCTTCTTGGAGCAGCAGAGAGGCTGAGCCCAGCCTCTGCTCTGCATGGGAGGTAGCAGCCCCCTGCAGGACCTGGTGTCCCTGTAACCTGCCCAGGCAGCCCAGGGCAGCTCCCTGAGGCCCCACCTCTGACTGTCACATTGACTGGAGTTCATGCCCATGCAGCTGAGCTTCCTGGACAAAACCATACTGCCCAGGACAGAGGGAGCAGGGTTGTCCTGCGAGGAAGCAGTGGGGCCAGCCCCACCAGCACCATCTAAACCACAGGCTACCCCTGACCAGGCCCTGGGCCCCAGACTCACTGCTCCTTCTCCATGTTCAAGGACTTGGACAGGCTGCTGCCCCTCTTCTTCAGCCTGTGGCTGGGAGCTAGCTCCGCTGCATCAGAGAGAGACCCGGTCAGTGCAAGGAGCAGAGTGGGGTGGCCCTCTTCAGGAAGGGGCTTCACTCCTGGGCCTCCTTTATTCTTCCACCACGCCACTCATCTATACACATGCTGTCCACCCCCAGTGTCCCCCTTGCCATACTATTAAAAGTTCACCAGGTAGCCTTGCCCAGTTCACAGCACCTCTCTGAGAGGAGGTGCCTTGATGGTCTCCCAATTTTCTCTGAGGACCAGTTCATTTTCCTCCTTCTCTGGGGCTGCTAATTGTTGTTTGTTTAGTGACCAGCCAAGGTTTCTTCGTGAAGTCTACTTCCTCTGCAGCATATAACTCCTGATGTTGCCCCTTATAGGGTACAGCCCTAGGAGTGCACCTGGTCACCCTGGGACAACAGTGGCTTGAGCAGGACTCCCGCTGACCAGCTCCTTCCCTGGTCACACCCTCCTTAGTTCTGCTTATTGGAGGCTGATATTCATGATTTTCAACAGTGGCCTTTGGCATAAATTGTTCCAAAGACTGACCCAATCAAATCAGGGCTCACAGAAGGATCGTCCCTGAGGTGAGGGTTTCAGATTTGTTCAGTGGCAGGAGGCCTCTTCCCAGCCATCTCTCTTCCCAGTTTTCTCTGGCAGTTACTAGATTGTAGTCAAGCGTCTCTCTCGTACAGGACTGCCAGTCTTCTTGCCATGGCCTCCAAGTGCACCGTCAGGCCTGAGCTGCTCCACACTCCATTGCAATGAAGTGACATCCTGGGATAGATTCAGAGCTCTCCGGGGTAGTTTTTCCATTTTTATTAGCATATGTTCCTTGGACAGGGCAATTCACTGTGCCAATTATGAATAAGCTTACATTGTCTATTGGTTAGATGGCCACCACCATCTCCCCCCACAACCCTGCAATCCCCTCCCCAGGGGTTTAGTAAGGCAACTGCAAGAGGTTTCATCATTCTATTTCATATATGTATATGAAGCCCATCAACTGTATTCCCTCCCTCACCTTCACCTCCTTCATTTACCCTCCCCCTTCCCACAAGTACCCTCCCATACACTGTGCCTATTTTACAGTCCTGTCATTCACTTTTAGTTCCAAAGTCCATGTTCAGAGGGGCTTCTCGATGTGTCCCCGCTGTGAGTATGCTTTACTTTGCTCAGTTCATCCCTCTCTGCTACTCTCCCTTACCCTTCCCTCCCCCCCACTACTGAACAGCTTTCAGTATGGTATCGTTAAGTCCTCTACCTGCGCAGATGAAATGCATTTCACTATTGTTGACTCTCTCGTTCTCTTTTCCTTTCCCTCCTCCCCCAGTGTCAGAAGCAGTTCCACTAGTACCAGCATGGTCCACACATAAATGTGTGTGTGATCATTTTTGTTTTTTTATACGTTTATGTTTTGGATCTATCTTCCACATTTGAGAGAAAACATGAGCACTTTGTCTTTCTGAATCTAGCTTATCCAATTCCATCCATCTATCTTCAAACCACATTGGTTCATTCTTCTTATGGCTGAATAAAACTCTAATATATTATATATTATATATATATCACATTTTCTTGATCCATTCATCAGTAGGGCATCTGGGTTGATTCCATAGCTTGACTATTGTGAACTGTGCCGCAATGTGCATACAAGTGTCTACTGTAACTTGACTTCCATTCCTTCCAGTATGCCCAGGAGCGGTACACTGGATCAAATGGCAGTTCTATCTTTAGCCTTTTGAGGAATCTCCATACTGCTTTCCATAGTGGTTGTACTAATTTGCATTCCCACCAACAGTGTATAAGGGTTCCTATTTTGCTGAATCCTTGCCAACATTTGCTGTTGTTTGTGTTCTTGATGATAGCCATTCCAACTTGGGTGAGACAAAATCTAAGTGTCATTTTGATTTGCATCTCTTTTATAGCCAGGGAAGTTGAACACTCCTTCGTATTTACTGGCTATTTGTGCTCTTCCTTTGAAGGTTCCCTATTCAGTTCATGTGTGCATTTTTCTTCATTGGGTTGTTGATTCTTTGGGGGTTGAGTTTTTTGAGCTTCCAGTAGATTCTGGATATTAGCCCCTTATTGGATGAATAGCTGGCAAAGATTTTCTCCCATTCTGTGGGCAGTCTCTTAAGTATAGTGACTGTTTCTTTTGCTGTGCAGAAGCTCTTTAGTTGGATGCAGTCCCATTTGCTCACCTTCCTCTTGTTTGCTGAGCACTCTGCGTTAAAACAGTTTCTCCCCTAGGTAATTCCCTGAGCCTGGTTCTGGAGCTGATGGTGAAGACAACCATACACCCAGGTCTACGGGAACCCTGCCTTACAACTGGGGCAAGGCGTTCAGAGCCCAGGATTTCCCGCAGCACTCCACGCCTTAGCAGACAGCTAAGGAGACACAGGAAAGAGCATTAGTAAATATCAAAAGGGCTGGGCTCAAAAATTAAGCCAGAACCAGGAGGCAAGAACTGAAAAATCAAAGCAGCAAATTCCCCTCCCATCATCCTCTCCTTCCAGAGGTTAAATTACAAGAACAGGGAGGCATAGAGGGGCAATCTGCATCTGTTTTCTCCTTTGGGATGTTAGGAAACGGCAATCTCTTTGAATAGGTAAAAAGAAAATTAAAGCATGTGCCTGGCAGATCAACGTCCTAAGACTCTCACAGATTGTCCCTGTGTTTTAAATAAAACTAGATCACTTATCTCCATGTTTTAGAAAATAACAAGACCCATCTTGGGCAGTTTTAGGTAACAGACCCACCCTGATCCCACTGTCTGTAATGATTAGGGTTGCTAGAAGACATGGCATGTAGTCCCCCAGCTCAGAGAGTACAAAGGCCCCAGACAAGGACCACCATTCTGAGTCTTCTTCACTCCCATCTCCTGCATAGAAAGCCAGATGCTTCTCCTTCCCTTTCCTACTTTATCCTGTTTTACTAAAATAAATTCTGGCAAAAACTTTCACCTGTGAGTCTCTCCTTGATCCCTTGAAATGCTTTTCATTGTGGATCTCAAGTTCCTGTGATTTGCACAGAAACTGATAAGCTGGGGACCCTCTTGTATCTCTCCTCCTCTGGTAACAATTCCATTCTCTCTTTGTGGAGGTAGAAAAGTAAAACTCCAGATGGCCCACACACTGGACCAGCAATTAAGAAAATGGCCCTAAATCCTCCTTATCTAGCACATTTCCCATATATCAAGATCACACAATCACCTTGAAAGGCATGATGACTGTTATATGCTCTTCCACTGGCTGTGCCAAGCCAGGATGGCAAAAAGCACTAAATACACAGGTGCCTGCCCTCACCTTCTCAAAAGGTCCTTATCCAAACTCACTTCACCTGCCTCACATTTCGAAGTGTACTTTCACTTTACTAGTAAATCACTCCTTGCCATCTAACTACATTCTGTGATTCTTTTTTATTTATTTTTATAGCATATAATAGTTATGCAGGAGAATAGATTCTGGCATTTACCCATGTGCTTACAATACATCTTAGTTAGATTCACCCCTCCATCATTCTCCCTCTTTGCCCCTCCCTCCCTCTTAGAACAGTTTCAACAGGTTTCATTTCATCTGCACATATGGACACTGCACACTCCACCACATCACCATATTCATCCTCATTCACCCTTTCTTTATGCCCTCCCTCCTCCCACTGTCATCCTCCCCCAGAAAAGACCTGTTTTATCTTCCTGTCCTCCATTTCTTTTTTAGTGTGTATACTTGTAGTCCAAGGGGGTTTCACCTTGGTACTTCAGGCCTGTATACATCATGTTTTAATCAAGTTACTCCTCCAGTTACTTCCTCATTCTCTCTCGCCATGCTCCCCTCATATTCAACAGCTCACAGCACAGCAATTACATTATATTCATATACAGAGGGGTTGTTTCAGAATTTTTCATTCTCTAACATTTTCTTTCCCTCTCCTGCTTCCCATTGTCCCCTCAGAGAGACCCAATAATATAGTTCTGTTCTCTCTCACTATGTGTATATATGTGTATGTGTGTGTGTACATTGTGATCATACGTGTATTTACATATACATATAACTTGTAGGTCTACCTTCCACATATAAGGGAAAACATGCAGCCTTTGACTTTTTGAGCCTGGCTCACTTTGCTTAACATAATGTTCCCCAGTTCCATCCATTTACCTGAAAATAATATAACTTCATTCTTATTTGTGGCTGGATAAAACTCCACTGTGTATATATAACACATTTTCTTAATCCATTCATCAGTCTTGAGGCATCTGGGCTGCTTCCAAAGCTTAGCTGTTGTGAATAGTGCTGTAATAAACATGGGTGTGCAGATGTCTCTGTTGTGTCCTGGAGCACGTACCTTCAGATATTTGCCCAGAAGTGGTATTGCTGGATTGTATTCACAGTTGTATTTTTAGTTTTTTCAGTCTTCCATACTGCTTTCCATAGTGACTGCACTAATTTACCTTCCCACCAACAGTGCGTTCCTTTTTCCCACAGCCTCTCCAGCACTTGCTATTGTTTGTGTTATTAATGATAACCAATTTGATTAGGGCGAAGTGGAATCTTAATGTCATTTTGATTTGCATTTCCTTTATGGTCAAGGATGCTAAGCATGTCTTCATGTGTTTATTGGTCATTTGAACTTCTTTTGAGAACTGTCTGTTCAGTTCATTTGCCCATTCATTCAGTGGATCTCTGACTCCTTGGGTGGTTAGCTTTTTTGAACTTCCTGTATATTTTGCTTATTCATCCCTTGTTAGATGTATGACTGGCAAAGATTTTTCTCCCTTTTTATGGTTACTTTGCTGTGCCTGGGGCAGCATCCTAATTTTAGACACTGTACCCAAAGAACAGAGGTACACGCCATCCACTGGTGTGTTACATTGGAAGCACACTAAGTCTAGAAGTTGGCCTCTGCAACAGGCAGCTAGGGACAGTATGAGAACTGCTGACACCTGTCTCTCCCTACCAGGGATTTCTCAGCTTCTTGAATCGAGTTAACTTTTTGCCTTGCTGAGCTCGGAGAGTGAAGAGGAAAGGCAGACCTTGTTTTAATACCACAAAGTGTATTCTTCTGAATTTTAATAGATTTTATCAAATAACTGTTTATATATTGTTTATATATCCTCTTTGGACCATTTACTGAGACCCTAAATGGTGGAACATTTTGTTTTCATAATTTTCAACTGTCTTGCTGGGGAGTGCGTCCACAGACCACCTCATGCTGCTATGCCAACCAGAAACTATACATGTTATTTTATATGACTACCACCCCAATCACACAAGAGAAAAACAACTATCTTTGCTGGTGTTCATTGTGTGGATTTGAATTTCCATCTTGATTCATCTGCTTTTAGTCAGTACTCTCTTCAGAATTTCTTACAAGAGGTGTGTAGTAGTGACTTTTGTGCTATTGTGACAAAGGTAATTTAAACAACTTAAGGCAAAATTTATTTTTAGTTCATGGTTTCAGAGGGTTTAGTCCATAGTTGCTTGGCACCACATATTTAGGTGGAATGTCATGGCAACGTGGCAGGGGCTGTTCTTTACTTCTTGGCAGACAGGAAGCAGAGAGGTGGTTGGGGTGGGGGATGGGAGAGAGAGAAACTCTACCCCAAGGGCCCACCCCCAGTGACCTACTTCCTCCAGCTAGGTCCCACCTCCTCCCAAAGTTTCTAGAATCTCCTAAAATAATGCCAAGTGTTCAACAGCTGAGCCTGTGGGGGACATTTCATATTTGAACCATAATAATGGGTCTGCTAGCAATGTATTCTCTCAGTTTTCGTTATCTGGGAATATCTTCATTCTATCATCATTTCTTAAAGATAGTTTTGCTGAACGTAAGAATCTTGGTGAGTCACTTCTGATGAGAAATTAACTGCTACTCTCATTGAAGCTCCCTCTCACCTGTAACTTAGAAGGAAGTAAATTTTCTCTTGCTGCTGTGAGGATTTTCTCCTGGTCCTTAGAGCTCTGACATTGTATTACAATGTGTCTTCTTATGGGTCTCTTTGCATTATCCTTCTTGGACTTTATCTTCTAAAGTGCATCCATCAACATGTCCACTGGGCTGAAGTTTTAAGCCAGCATTTCTTTCAACTCCCATTCCTCCTGTCTGGGGTTCCCATTACAGTATGTGCAGCAAGCTTTCTCACAAGCTTTTGTTTCTCCTGACCTAACTGGGGTGACGGGAGACTCAGAAAGGACAGATAAACATGCCAGGTGTGTTGGGCACTCAGATGGAGACACACAACAGCCTCATTGCTTGGTTACTTCTCTTTACTCTGCTTCTTTTCTCTATCTTTAAAAAACCTTCCTTCTAAAGTCTTTTTCTTTTATTCTTTAAAACCTTACTTCTAAAGTCTTCTTTTCTATTCTTTAAAGTCTCTTTCCTTAGCCTCACTCTGTCCCATGTTTTCTCTTAGCTTGACTTTAGCATAATCTCTTAGAGTCTTGGCCCTCAGATTTGCACTGCCCTATGTTTCCTCTAATCTCTAGCATAACTCAGCAGCAGCATCAGCCCACCTATCAATCAACCCATCAAAAAACCTCTCGGACCTCCTTCAGCAAGTCTTTTATATCCAGTGGTAAGCAAGGAGGTGGAGCAGCAGTTCTCGGGGAGGGGCGTGACATTGTACCAGGAGAAACCTGAGTTCCTGCTTCTCTGAATGCAAACAGCTTAGGAAAAGCAGCTGTGCTGCATTTTGCACTCTTGCAGCTGGGGCCGTGCCAAACTCAGCCTGTCAATTATTGGGCACCACTGTGCTTATGTCAAGTTCTCATAGGCTTCTCATAATCCACTCCCCACAGGTATGCTGACGTGTTCACTAGTGTCCCACAGCCTTTGAGGCTCTGGTCCCTCTTCCTCATGCTTTCCCCTCTCCTCTTCAGATCACGCTGTCTATCATTTTGCCTTCGGTTTGCTGATTCCTTTTCTCTGCTACAGCTGGGCCACTCTGGTAAAATGTTCATTTGGAGATTATACTGACTACAAACTCCAGAATCTCCACTTGGTCCCTTTTCGATAGCTTCTTTGACTTTGCTGACATTCTCTCCTGGATGAGACACTGCCACGGTGCCTTTCTTTGCTTCTTTAACCACGGTTTCCTTCAGATCCTTCACCATCTTCACAATGGCTGTGTTGATGCCTTACCCTGGTAAATCTGATGTCAAGCCTCTCTCATGTTTCTTGTCCTGCCTCCCCAGCGATGTGTCATGCTTTCCTATTTTTTTTTTTTGCATATTCCATCATGGTGTGTTGAAAACAGTATTTTAGATAACACACTGTAGCAACTCTAGGAAGTGACCCCCACCAGGTGGGGCTGTTGGTGTTTGCTTATTTAGTCCACCAGCTAGGTTGGTTTTGTGGTCTCCACCTCAGCGTGATGCTTCTGATGCTGCTCCTTGTGGCATGCATCCCGGGGCGGGGGGGTGGTTCCCAAGGCCACTTTGGAGGACAGGGACCTGGGCAGAGATCTCTTCGACTGCCTCTGCTCATGACCATATCCAGATGTTAGTTCTACCAAGGGTGGACTGATTACTCCACAGGTTTAAAAAATGTGCTGGGACATAATTGCTCCTCGGGGTGATCCAATCACACTAGAAATCTTTGAGGGGAAAGATCTGACTGCAGGACTGCTCCTCCCCCATCTCTTTCCCTGGTTCTCTCTGACAATGAGCCATCTTGTTGTTCAGCCTACGTCTCCAACAGATCTACCTTCTCTTCCCAGTTGCCTCTTATCATTAGCTTTGAACTGGTCCATGAGCAGTTGAAAATTAGTTTCTTTGTCAAAGCTCACCATTTTACAGTGTGGCCCTCCATAGGCAAAATCTCAGAGCCAAGGCTCTGGAGCTGGGGTAGGGGAAATGGTAGATATCTCTGCGATGACTCCTCCATTTCAGGATCCCTTCTCAGATGGAAGAGAGGAGGAAGTTCTCTCAACCTTTCTACCCAACCTGGGTCCTCTGCCCATAAATAAGAGAGATTAGCGTCCCAGCATCCTTGCTGGTCCCATGCTCAAGGGAGAACCTGTTTCCCCAAGTGAAGGCTATGTATAAATGGAGGTCTTGCCTCTCTGGTACACTGGCCAGGAAGCCAGTCTCTACAGCGTGTGTGTGTGTGTGTGTGTGTGTGTGTGTGTGTGTGTGTGTAAGAGAGAGAGAGAGAGAAAGAGAGAGAGAGAGAGAGAGAGGAATTTGGTGGAAGGGGTTGTTTGTATCAGGAGAGATTAGTATGTGTGGGAGGGATGTAAGTATGGGAATGGTTGGTGACTACATGTACGTGTGCAGTAGGTGGGTGGGTGGGTATGAGGGGTTTGTGTGAAGTGGGGGATATATGGCGGGGCACAGGGTTTTCAATGGGTGAATGTGTGTGCTAGGACAGAGAGTAGGCTCTGAGGAGTGGGTGGGGTGTCAGTATATGCATATGTAGGGATGTGTGTAGTATGTGGGGAAGTAGGGGCAGCTCTGCATGCAGGGACAAACTAAGAGGGGTGGAAGGTGTGGACAGGCCAATATATGAGTAGTGAGTATGCAGGTGGCTGTGTGGGGTGAAGGTGGAGGTGTAGGGGTGCAAGAGTAGGTGGCATGTGGTTGGTAAGAACTGGTGGGGATATGTGTGGTGGCTGTGAAGATAGGTGTGCAGGAGGGTGAGGTCCGGATTTTGGGGCATAAGTGTGTTGGTGGGCAGATGTGCGTGTGTGTGGACTAAGTGGGTTGTGTGTGGCAGGCAGATGTGGGTGGGGGTTGGTGGGTAGATACGACTTTGTGAGGGTGGGGACGGGTGGGTTACTCTGTGTGTGAGAGGTGGGTACATGTGCGACTGGGTTTGTGAGTACATGGAGGGGCATGGAGGTAGGTGTTGTGCAGAGATGGCCATAAATGGGTGGGCAGGGTATACGTGTTTTTGTGGTGTGTTTTGGGGTGTATGAGTGTGGGCTGAGAATGGGGTTGTATGGGTGTGTACAGATGGGCAGAGGCTGATCCGTGTGGGTTGCATATGAGTGGATGGGGGAGTTTACATGGGGGTTAGTGTGGTTTGGTATTTTCTAGGGTGGGTGAAGGGGGTGAGGGTACGAGTGTGAGATGGGCAGTTGGCACGTGGGGGTTGGGTAGCGGTGGCCAGATAGACATGTGTAGACGGATACAGAAAGGGCTGAGCTGGGAGGTGTCTGTGCGTCTGGACGTGTTGGGGCATTTGTATGGAAGAAGGCCAGGTGGGGGGATATGGAGAGGACAGGGAGGAGTGTTGGTCAGTATGGTGGACGTAGGTACTGTGTGCTGGGGTAACGGCAGAGCCAGGGTGTGAGCCCCAAGCAGCCGTGCCCACCTCTCTTGCTCAGGTACAGCATCTTTGTGTCCCACTGGCTTTCCTTGGCAAAGACGGCTCGCCGCAGCTGCATGGCCATGTGCTCCAACAGCCTCTTCCGGGTCAGAAACGTCTCTCGCTCTACGGGCATCAGTGCATGGAAGGGGCAGTGGGCGATCTTCCGATCCTGTGACACATGTGGGGTCAGCATGGGACCTTGGGGCCACCCCAATCCACACTGCAAAGTGACCAGGTAAGCAGACCACCCTTCTGTCCTGGGTGACACGTGACTGTGAGGACATAGCGAGACACTGGCCCCCACACGCCCACAGCATGTGCTCACCATTGTGGAGTCTCCTGCCCTTGAAGATCAGGATTGGCTCTAGGACTCTTGGCTCTGCCCAAGCGAAGTCAAGGGCCAGAGGGTCCCTACTCAGGACAAAGTCATACCTGGAAGAATTTGAAGTAGCCGTAGTCCACAGCGGTGCCCACTGCCACTTTGTCACCCTGTGTGAGCGTCACGGGCTTCAGGATGTCTGCTCCATGATTAATGAGCCTGTCAATCTGTGAGTGCAGAACTTGTCAAGCCCACAAGGCCACCCAAGCAATAAGAGCCACCCTCATTACTGGGTTGCGTATACCGCAGCCCCACACTGCTTTCAGGCCCTAAGGACACACTCAACAATGGCTGGAAGACAGCCCAAGAACACCATCCAGTTGGAGAGCAGGGCTGCCCAGAAGGGCTGCAGTGACTTGTGTTCTACACAGAGGCTACCCCCCAGGTGTGTGGAATTGTCAGAAACTAAGGGGTGGACAGGGCCAACCCTGTGGCCCAACCTTATCCTAATGATGCCACCCCTAGGAGAACCCCCCCCCACAGCACCATGGGATTGCCCCTCAGTCTGTTTAGGTCTGGTTACCGCACTGCTTCCCCAAGTTGTAAATGGTATGAAAACAAATGCCAGGCAGCTCTTGCTCCTGAACATATCTCCTAGGGGTGTCACAGAGACAGCAAATGCATGAGTGGTATGGGGTGTGTGCATGAGTGTATGGATTCAAGCATGTGTGCACGTGCATATGTACAGATGTGGGGGTGTGATGTTTGCATGCAACTGTGTGTACATGTGTACACTGTGGGGTCCAGTGTGTGTGCATGTGTGCAAGACTTCCAGCAAACATGGCACAGCGATGGTATCAGAGCTGTCCTACACACACACACACACACACACACACACACACACACACAGCGCCTGACAAGGGAAGAAGCTGAGTTCTATCTAACCCAGTGTAATGAATAAAAACCAGGCTGTTGTCTACAGGACGCTCACCTCATGGCATGTTATTTACTTGCTAACTAAGTACAAGCACAGCCATAATTTGGGGATGCTCAACCACTAACCCAGAGAGATCCCCATCCATGTTTTCTGTGCCTATGTTGAGTGTTCATTCTACACAAACACAGGAACCCTGGCTTCTCAGCTCTGTGAGCATGATGCTATGGACACAGAGCCTGGCTTTGGTGGATGGTAAGTGCTATCAACACTAGCGGCCAGTCTGTTTTTGTTTCATTTTTTTGGTTCTTGGTTTTTTTAGTGGCACTGAAGTTTGAACTTAGGACCTCATCCTTGCTAGGCAGATGCTCTACTTGTGTTTTTTTCAAGATAGGGTCTCGTGAACTATTTGACTGTGATCATCCTGATCTCTGCCTCCTAAGTAGTTAGGATTACAGGTATGAGCCACTGATGCCAGCCCAGTGGCCAGTCTGGCTTGAGTGGGGCCCACCCACTGGTTCAACAGAAGCTGCACCAGTCATAAGGCAGGCAAAGGGGCCAGTTTTCCACTCTTTTGGGGGGAAGGAGTTCCCCTGATCTGCCTACAACTCCCCGCCCAATCTCCTTTCCTCAACTCCTTTTTTTTTTTTTCAGTACTGGGATTTGAACTCAGGGGCTACACCTTAAGCTACTCCACTAGCCCTTTTTTGTGGTATGTTTTTTCGAGATAGGGTCTCACAAACTATTTGCCAGGGCTGCCTTCGAACTGTGATTTTCCTAATCTCTGAGTAGCTAGGATTACAGGTGTGAGCCACTGACATCCAGCTTCCTCAATTTATGCTGGAACCATGATACTAAGTACCAAGTACTAGTGCTAGACAACCCTCCAGGGCCCACCAACTATCTTATGAAACCTTTCAGAAGAAGGCAGGGCACTTGGGGCTCAGTGGTAGAGCACTTGCCTAGGATGCAGGAGGCCCTGGGTTTGATCCCCAGCACTGCAAATATTAAACCCTCTGGGACCAGGCAAAGTGGCTGAGTGACTTGCTCCACTCAGTACTCCACTGGGAGTACTGTTCCCAGGAAGCCCAATCATACACAGCCACAACTCAGCCATGGAGACCAGCAGCATGTGCCTACCCAGCACAGACGGTCTGTTCAGCAAGTGTGCCACCCCCTTGAAGCACCTGCCTTCGAATCACCCATCACTGTGTCTCCTGCTAAGACTATAGTCTGTGTACTCCCCCCATAGCAGCTGACAGCTGGTTTCTGAAAGGGCTGGGCATGCTAACCAACAGGCCTCTCCATCCCTCAAGTCCCAGCTCTCCAGTGACCTTGAACTCCACGCCTCTTCAGCCCCATGGACACACTCCAGAAATTGGCCCTACCAGAGGGCTCAGACTCTGAAATGTCTGTCTGCTACCACCTCCCACCTCCTGCCTCCCCTGGGAGAAGGTTAGGACCTTCCTGGCAAAATGACCCCACAGCATGCCTTAGGAATGTCACAGGACCTGATGCCTTGATCACTGATCCTTCTGTGGGGCTGCTCTGTGCTGGAGTAAGGGACATTCGTGTGGAAGCAGGGCCTGCCCAGTGAGTGGAACTGGAATTTTCATGGATGTTCAAGTGCCCGGGCTGATGAGGGTCCCAACCACAGTGGCTGTCCAAAACCCATCAGCTAGCAGTCTGAAAGCCCCCTCTGCCACCCGGGAACAAGTCAGAAGGTATGAGTGCTGTTCCCTTGTGGAGGCCCTGATGGATTCAAGGTCCCTGAGAGAATGTGCACATCTCATGTTCTCATTCTGGAGCAAGTTCTAGAATCAGTGTAAGAAGAGCCTGGAGGCCCAGTGCCCAGCACAACGAGCTGCCATCTCAGGCCTGTATGTCCCACAGCTCACCATGGATCTGCACTAAGGAACAACAGATCCTGAAATGAAAATGGAGCAGTCATATGCATAGTCCTGTGTGATGGACTGCACCGTATCCACAAAGATAGGTTGAGGTCCCAGCACCAGAACCTGGATGACTTTATTTGGAAATGATGAAGATGACATCATTGGATTTGGCCTTAGTCTAGAATGACGGCTGTTTCTATGAAGGGACATTTGGACTCAGAGATACACACATATAGACACACACACAAGGAGAATGCCAATGAAGATGAAGGCAGGGCTGGGCAAGGATCATGAAGGGCACCAGCAGAGGGCGTGGGGCCGGTCTTCCCTCCCAATCCTGCCCACACCTCGAGCTTGGCCTTCCGGCCTGCAGAACTTGGAGACAGCACACTCCTGTTGTCTAAGCTTCCCCATCTGTGGTTTCTCTTGACAGTCCCAGGAAACCCAGGCATCATTCAGGCACCAAGGGGAAAGCCTCTGAAACAGCAGGTTCTGCCACAACCTGAGTGATGCAATGTGCGGGAGGCAGAGGCGTCAGTGGGACCCGGGCAGCCCAGCCTCCTGCAAAAGGTCATGAGCCACCATCACTCACTTACTCAATGGTTTATTTTGAGAGCAGTCAGACCAAATCCAGATAAGAAGTGGAAGGGAAAGAATGAAAACCAGAGCCAGGCATACCTACGAACTTAAGAGATCAAGCGTCACAAGGAAACTATTTGGAAGGTCTCCTCTAGCAGAGTTGAGATCCTGCTTATCATCACTGTGCCAGGAGCTCCCCTGGGTCCAGAAGACTCTGAATGTTCCAGAACCCCACCACTTAAAAGAATAGCAGAGAAAAGGCACGGCATTCTCCAGTAGGATGCTGAAAAGCACGTGTTAAATTCACGTAGCTCAAAGTATAGACTCACAAGAAAACAGGGTAAGCGTGTCCTGACACAGGGGCTGGCATTGATTCTGTGGCTATGACACCAAAGGCACAAAATTAAAAAGTAGACAAATTGACCTTATGGAACTGTGCACCAAAAGACATCATTAACAAAGCAAAATCCATAGAATGGGGGAAACATTTATAAATTATATTATCTGACAGTGCATTAACTTCCAGAAAACATAGAGAACTCTTAAAACAGAACAACAAAAACAACCTGACTGAAAGATGGACAAGAGACTTAAACAGACCTATCTTCAAAGAAGCTACACAAATGCTGAGAAGCCCCAGGAAGGAGGCTTAACATCACTAATCATTAGGGAAATGCAAATCGAAAACCTCACAGCCACTATGATGGCTCCCACTAAGAAAACAAAGCGGTATAAGTGTGGACGAGGAGATGCTGGGACCTTTGTGCACTGTGGGTGGGGACAACAGTATGGCGGCTAAGTGTTGTGGGGCACACCTGTAATCTCAGCACTCGGGAGGCCGAGGCAGCACAATCTTGAGCTTGAGGCCAGCTTGAGCTACATAGCAAGGCCCTGCCTCAAAAAAAAAAAAAGGAAATGAGTTCTTCAAAAGGGTTAAAAATATTATTACTATACAGTCCAGCAGTTCCACTTCTGGATACATAACCAAAGAACTGAAAACAAGGACTCAAAGAGATATTTGAACCTCCACGCTCACAGCAGCATTAAATTCTCAACAGCTAAAAATTTGACTATTGATGGATAGATGAATAAACAAAATGTGGCACATGCAAACAGTGGAGTTTTCTTCAGTCTTTAAAGGGAAGGAAATTCTGACACCTGCCACAGGTGGATGAGCCTTGATGAAAGCAGGTCATAGAAACAAATCATGCACGACTCCACTCAGATGAGATTCCTGAAAGTCTCAGATGCTCAGCGACAGCAGAATCGTGGGTGCCAGACACTGGGGGAGGTAGAAGTGAGACTTAGTTTAGTGGGGACAGAGTTTCGGTTTGGCACAGTGGAAAAGTCCTGGCAGAGAGCCATGGGGTCCTGCTTAGAAGCCAGACTACGGTGGGCGTCAACCCTGCTGCTCTGGGAGAAGGCAAGTCCCTCCAGGAACAGACGTTCACGTGGTTTTTTCAGGGAGCCCCTTGCTCTCCTGTGTAGCCCACCAGGTGGGGTGGGAGCGTCCTGCCTGTGTGTGTGTGTGTGTGTGTGTGTGTTTGGGACAAATGAGGTCCTGTGTGCTTCACTGCTCGAACACGGTACCCAGTTTTCTGACTGTTCTGGGTGCCCAAATGATTGCCCCCTTCGGGTGGACTCCTGCTCCCCAGCCATGTTCAGTAGTCACTGTTTATTTCAGGGGACTCTGATCTTGCTGCAAGCCCAGACCCTCCCCTCCATTGCAAAGAGGAAACTCCCTTGATCAGATCAGACTTGATTTCAATTCCAGAAAACAGGAGGTACACATTCACAAATGTTCTGAGCCTTCTTGGGTTGCTTACTACCTGTTGAGCTAATCACTCCTCCAGTCACCTGAATGTCATAATAGTAATAATAATTATGAATAATGACTGTCACTGGATTACTGCTATCACTAGCCAGTAGATCAGAGGTGGGTCCTTAGTGTTTTGTTGAGAAACAAAGAAGCAGGCTTGGGAATGATTAAATCATTTGCCCAATGTCATTTAGGTTGTAAGTGCTGAAAACAGGATGCACTCCCTACCGTGTTGCCAAAACTCTTCTTAAAAAAAGAAAAGAAAAGAAACTCTGTCAACCAGGACTTTTGTCAGTCCGCTGTGAGTGGATCTACTCCACTGACCATACCTAAAATGGAGGTGGCACAGCCCATGCCAGGTGCTTGCTGTAGCCATGTTTTTAAAAGCTACGCCCAGCAGAATCTCATTTTGACAAAAAAATCAAAAATGAAAAAAATTCCATGAACAGCCTGATAAACACCATGGCAAGCTGCAGACACAGGAGTGTCCTCCCTGTGGCAGAGGACAGCTACAGAAATGCAGAGGCACAACACAAAGGAACCATAGCCCAAGTCAAACCAGCTGAGAAGTGAAGACAGACAAGGAAGTGGGTGAGACAGATTGGAGTGGGAGAGGCCACTTGCCAACAACGTGCTTCTCTGCTTGGAAAATCAAAAGGATCCACTAGATACAGGCTTTTATCAGACTCTGGTCCCTGACAGAAGTAACCCTAGGAAGATGTAGAGAATCTGTGCAGATAGTAAAGTCCGTCCAGTTCTGCCATGCTGTCTTATAAGTGGCTTATGGGATTCATCGGTGTGATCATCTAGTGTCCTTTCTGCTTGTGATGTTGGAAGTTATTAAGAGAATCAGACATTCCATCTTGTGATATTTATTAAGCGTGTAGTAGAATCTGGACATGTTTAGAGGTTTTACCTTTGGAGGGAGAGCATCTGATTTGGCCTCTGCCGGTGAGTGAGCCTCAGAAGGTTGCAGCTGCCCATGTCCTCTGCTGGGGGACAGTGCCCTGCCAGGGCAGCTCCAGTGGGCCCAGGGCTCCAGTCCAGGAGCAGCCAGCTGTCCACTCTGTGGCCCTAAGCCTGTGGCCCTGCCTGCCGTGCTACAGCCAGAAGCACTCTAGCAGCTCTTGTGGGAGACTCTGGGGGCCACTGTCCATGAGAGTATACGGTGGATCTTAGTAACTGCAGAGAGACTGGAGGTGGGCCCTCATCATGTGGACTGAACATCACTCAGTTTGCTGAACAGTTCGGCGAAATGAAACAGGGGCAAATACAGATGCTGAGTAGGGATGAGATGAGAAGGCAGTTGCTTGGTGGGCCTGTGATGGGGAAGGAAACAAGGACTTAGCAAGTGGGCTCCCCTCTCTTCCTCAGCACAGGAGCAGCCGAGGAACAAAAAACAAGATGCCAAGAGGAAGGAGAGAGGTTCCCTGGAGACGCTGAAACTCAGAAGATGATCAGCCTGGGATGATCAGAGGGGGGTGTGGGTTAGCCGCACCACCAAACAGTAGTGATGCTCTAGCATGGTGTGCAGGAAAACAGCCGTCCTGGATGAGGGAGCTTAAACAGCAGATGCGGCCAAGGTGTGCAGCTGGTTTTAATGGTTTGCCAGAGGGGAGTCCCAAAGGGAAAGGTGACAGAGAAAGACTGGAGGTGAGATCCTAGTATTTGGTGGGTCTAGCTGAAGGGATTTGGAATCTTTGCACTGTTCTTTTCAATTTTTCTGTGGAGGATTTTTTGTTTTTTAATTTAAAGGAATTAAATACATGAAAAAAAAAAAAAGACCAGTCAGTTGATCTCAGGTCTATAGTGATAATACAGGGTGTGTGGCAGACACCTTCATGTGGGAGAAAACACCACAGGTGCCAGATGCAGGCAGGACAGCACTCAGGAGTCAGCTCTGGGACTCCTCATAGACAGAGATGAAGCAGTTTAGGAAGTAAAACAGCTCTCTCCTCCCCTAGGATTTGTTGGCAGCAGGTGGCATGGTTGGGGGTAGGCAGCACTACTGGCCCCTAACCCAAAACAAGGCAGAATGAACCCCTAAATCCAGAACTTAACCCAGGACAGGACATAGTGAACCCTATAAAACAGGGAGCACAAAGGGGTCAAAGGGAAGAACTTAAGGAAATCAAGAAGGAATGTGAAAACCTAAGCTGTATAGCCTGTAAGTCATACAGTATCTGAACATGGGGTCAAAGACCACCAAGAGAGAAAAAGAGCTTCAACTTCAGACATCGTGTCTGACCATCTAGCCTGTGCTCTGCTGTGACAAAGAAATGAAATATTCCTTGTCAAGTTGCCCCAGTCAGAATAACCTATGTAACCTTCACCACACAAAGCCCTCGAGTGCAGCTCTCCTAAGCCCACACCCTCTCCAGTGTGCACTTTTGCTGATAAGCCCAGCTTCACTTGCTACTCCTTACTTTGTCTCATCTCTGAATTCTTATCTGGCAGTGCTGGGATCCTGCAAGTACTGGGTGGGGGTCTCTATCTGCTCTCTGAGACTTCCTTCACCCATCAGCAACACCTACACTCCACAGATTTATATGGCATATTCCAGTCCAGCCTCTGCCTATTCTTATTACAAAAGTGTTGCACAGAACAGTGGCTTTAGGCTGTGCCTAGCTTTGACCAATGCTATTTTACAAAGCAACAGTTTTGATCTAAGTTACTCCATTTTGAATACACCTATCGTTTATATAGGTAAGCAGCTGCCATCTTCCAGCACACCAGGAGGCATAAACTGATCATTTAATTATCCCAGTAAATGATTACACCTGTGAATATATCCAATTGTATCAGTCACACCAGACACGAGCATGGGAGTCACGCCATATATAACTCCCTCACCTGGGACTGTAAGAGGAGCAGCACCCCAAGACTGAGGCACAGCAGGCACACTGGCCCATCACGTGGTCACTAGTCACAAGCCTTGTCCAGGAAGTCACCCTAGAAAGGACTCTGTCCATCCCCAGGTTTCAGCTCCAGTGGTTTCTCCTCCCCGTGACTCATGACGCACTTCAAACTGACCCTGGAAACAGTCACCGGACCTGCAATTGACAACTGCACCCTGAACAGCCCTGTGTCTGTGGTCCCATAGTGTGTTTGGTCTCCTACAGAGACATTCCTTGCACCTGCATCAGCTCTCTGCCTCTGCCTCTTAGTCGTTCTGTAACACCACACACACACACACACACACACACGCACACGCACGTTATTAGGAAAAGTATGTCTGATCTTAGAATGAATAAAATCAGAAATTAATATCAGCATGGAATAAAAGAACCTGTGAAAGCCACAGTTCCAATCTTCAAGTAAGATCAAGAGTACCCAGTGAACAGCAGTTGATAAAACTGACTTGTGAATTTACAATTCCCAGTAAGTTCTAGCCAGGCATGGTGGCGCACACCTGTAATTCCAGCAGGAGGCTGAGACAGGAGGCTCTTGAGTTTGAGGCCAGCCTGAGGTACACAGTGAGACCCTGTCTCTAAAAAGCATAAATAAATAAACAAATTCCAACATTGTGGAACAAACAAACGTGTCCATCTATGTTATTACTCACAACACACAACACATATATCCTGGGTCCCTGGAAGCCCAGAAAGTGCATCTAGACTGGTGCCACATGGAGAAATGGTGTGTCTGCCTGGCACCATCTCACCCTCCAGCAGCTACAAGAGGCAGGTGGTTGTACCCCTACTTAGTCTACCTTAGCCAGGACAGGATCTTAGAGTAGCCCAGCCTGCCTCCACCCCAGGATCGACCTGTCCTCCCTCCCCCAGGCCTACCCTGCATGCCCTTCCCCCCTCACCAGAGCTATCTTGCTGTCGATGCTCCTCTGCTGCTCATAGGCCGTGTCACAGATAACACACAGGGCACTTCCCAGGCCCCTGGTCAGGGGCAGGTTCGGGTCAGCTCCCTGGGACAGGAGCTCCTTCACGATCTAGACACACAAACAGGCCCCTTAGCAGTCACCGTGTACTACCCGCACCTACCACTGCTGCCCACCCAACAGGGCCACATTGGGCAGAAAGGTCACAGGGCTGGCTACTTAGGGAGGAGCTGGAATTCCACCCAGAGCCTGTTCTAGCACCTCTTTCATGTATAGTCCAGAGGCAGCTGCTCTGATGTCCCTGGCTCCCATCCTGCTTTCCAGATAGGGCACAGCCTGTCCCTGGGCAGGTCCCCAGCACAGGGTCAGGAGCACATCCTGGACCCTTGTGCCTCTCTCACCATGACTTCTTCACAGCACTTATCATTACTTGAAATTGAGTGGCCCACTGGCCTGAGGTCTGGCTCCCCCAGCTAAACTGTGAGATCCTCTGTTTTATTCAAAACTTACTGCCCTCATTGGGCCTGCCTGCCTGCCCATAGTAGGTGTTCAATAAATAAGTTAAACGAAAGTGTGGATGGTGAGTGCATGGGTGGAAGCAAGGATGGATGAATATGTGACTGAATGGGTAAGTGGATGGATGGATGGGTAGATGGGCAGTTGGGTGGATGAACAGGTAGACAGGTGAGTGAATAAATGGCCTACAACAGCAAATCCCAGTGATTCAGGAGAGGGGAGAAATGGACACAGAAAAAACACAGGTGCCCAGGTCCACAGGTACAGAACATGCTCACCAAGTCATTCCCACTGGCGATGGACAGGGAGAGAGGGGAGTGACCACTCCACAGCATGTTGGTATTAGCTCTGTGGGAGAGTAGGAGCCGGACTACATCCCTGGCACACTGGAGGAGGGGGAGAAAGGCAAAAGCAGTTCAAGTCAAAGAAGTGCCCACTCCCCAGGAGCCCAACAGTGACACTTCACTAAATGCCAATGGACCAACTCAGCCATTCAACTGCTCCACCCTACACCCAGCACTCGCCTGGAGCACAGAAACCACCCCAAACTCTGCATGGGTCCTCAAACTGGCTAGATGTTTCCAGATGGAAATTACGTAGGCCATCCATGCAAAAATTGACTGAAAGACAGTTGGGATCACAACAGTCATATGCAGGGCCTGACATACAGCTGGTGTGATGGAAGTCATGCTTCCTCTCCACGGCTCAGTTAGTCCTGCAGGGCAGCCCAAGCGTGAACCTCTTCCCCAGGAGTGTCTACAGACAACGGCCACTCTCTTTTCCCCACTGCAGGGACTCCTCTCTAGCTGATACACCAGACACTCTGCTCAGACTGCCCTCTCTGGATGTGGCAGACCTTGAGAGCTGGTAGCCCAACCTTCCTGCTTAATCCCCTTCCCTGCTACCTCAGTGAGCAGGTCAATGCAGAGCCAGCCGAGGTCTGCTGAGGGGCTCTTCTCCTCCTGCATATGCCATAGCTGGACTGCTACAGCCTTCATGGCCTCATCACTGGGATTTCACCTGGTGATCTGTCCTTGACCTAATGACACTGTGTCTCCTAACTTTGTCACCCCATAACTTTTCCAAATCTGAAATCCATAGGAAGGCCATAAGTATGTGAATAGAAAAGTGCTGTGCTCAAGCTCAGGCTTCATACTTATTGACTCAGAGGCCTTGATCAGTCTACCTCCTGGAGCCTCACTGCCCCTTTCCTAATGTGGGCTCATGCCGCTGCTCAAGTGGTTGTGGCCAGGACAGTGAGATCCTGGGGCCCTGCTCCTTCTTTTCCCCTGCTCATCAAGGAGGCTTTGACCACATATGCCAGTTGCTGTCTCCCACCTCCCATCTTCCACCTCTCAGCCTCATTCACACACAGACACACACTGGGTGCTCCTTCCCACTTCCCACACTTGCTTGCTAGGATTACACTGTGGTTACTCTGTGCAGCCAGGAGGCTGGTCCTTACTCATTTCACAGGTGGATAAACTTAGGTTCAATTTCCTCTGTGTTCCACAGCTAACCAGCCCAGGCTACTCAGGCCACTGCATGGCAAAGCTGGGATCTTGCTTCCTGACTCCCCCCACCTGCCCCAGCCACTCTGCCTCCAAGTGGTTCCCACACCCAAATCACTGGGAACTAATCCCAGATGGGATAAGCGGCAGACAGGAGCTGGTGGATGCAGGGTGGGGGACACTGCCCTGGCACTGGAAGCTGGGAGCACCCTGGGACCCCAAGCAGAGACCAGCATGGTGGTGACCACCAGAGATCGGCAGCACAGGACAGCTCCAGCCAAGGTCATCAGCACCTCTGGTCAAGTCCCAGAGTACACAACTCATCCCATGTTGTAGCCCAGGCCCTACTCCATGTGTGCACACTCACTCACACATGCATGGGCATGAGTCCATAGCATGGTCTGGAACACCTCAATACAGGCATCATGCATCATGCTCTCTGAGCTTTCTATTAAACTTAACCTACTGTATTCTGTTCTGTCTGGAAAATCCAGGACATGACCCATTCCGGATTGTGAACCCACTGAAGCAAGGTGACTCACAGTTGAGAACCACCAGCCTGGACACAGCAGCCAGGACCCCTGTAAGGAGGGGCCAGGATACCATGGATGCTCATCCCCCACCAAAGCTGCTGGGTCCTGCTCAGAGCAGCACACATGTGTACGCACACAGACACATGCACGTGAACATATGCATCACCCAAGTACACACAAATATCATACACTTGTACACACAGACATACATGTGTCCTAACTTACAGGTACAAGCTCACAGACACATCTGCACATGCACACACACACAGCACATAGCTCCTGCCTGACCTGAGGCCACAGACCTACCTTCCCTCCTGCCCCTCCCTCCATTTCTCCTGCACTCCTGGCTTTGGCTTGGTTTTCCAATGAGAAGACACACTTCCCAGCCAACCCAGGTCAGGACCCAGGGCCAATCACCTTCTTGTTGTCCTCCCGTTCACAGGCCACATGCAGAGCTGTCCTACCACCCTCCTCAGGGACACATGTGGCGGTTTGGGTGTAGTAGATACTGGACGGGCCTAGTTCATTGTTGAGCTTCAGGCTCGAGATCAACAGGTCCATCTGTGTGCAAAGGTAGGGCTAGAGAGCTGGCCCCCAAGCCAACCCCAATACCCTTTCGCTTGCTAGAGTGTGCCCCAAGCCCCAAGCCACAGTACTTGAAGATAGTCAGCTTCCTCCCCAGCCTGTGGGGCTGGAGTGCCATCCCACAAAGCTCCCTAGATGCCTATCCCCTGCATGCCTGCCCCTGAGCCACCCTGACTTCCATAGGGGTGGGAGCATCCCACGCCTCCCCTGCAGGACTCTCATGAACTGTGAGCTGCACACACAACACCCCCAGACATGTGCACATCACCAACAGTTCCTGCTGTGTGTAGGGGCGGCACAAGGAGGAAAACAAGGGCGCTCCTGCTCTCAGGGTTTTGGCCCTTGACTGAAGAAGTTAGACAAAGTATGATGTGGCTGATGGTGCATGGCTGAGTCTTTTAGAAATCAGAAGAGCCAGGAGGGCTATGCAGTGGAGGGCTGTACAGGTGACCTTGCAGGTGGAGGAAGCTGTGGGATATGAACTCCTGGGTACCCCACACCTGCCCATGCACAACTATGTCCAAGCCCCACCTCTGGCACTGCAAGGAAGCTGGGCCATGCAGCAGCCTCCTGCCACATCCCTTTCTCTGCAGCACCTGGTGGACGGGATCAGCCCAGCCTGACCGCAGCCTGGGAGATCTGGGTCCCACACCAGGAGCGCTGTCTGCTCTGTTGTCCTAGTGCACACATCATTTGCTGAGTGAAGAGCCAGGCCAGGCTGGCAGCCTCTTCCCAAGGACAGGGACATGCCCAGGGTGGAACAAGTAGTCCTGACAAACACCTGCACTGTCACAGGGCTTCTGGAGCTAGCTCAGGCCCTGCCTTCTCAGAGAGTAACAGGTGAGAGGAAGAGGCACAAGTCCCTGTGAGAGGCCAGACCCTGACTGCAGGGGACAGTAAGGAGGCTGAGCAGGGTCAGGCAGGGCCTGGTAGGGCAAGCTGACCCAGGGGGCAGAGAGACTTCTGCTGGAAAAGGCCAGCCCTGGGGACATGTTGGAAACTGTCACTGTTCATGAAAGCAAGCCTTCTAAAGGCATAAAATCAGGTCATCTATAAAGTGTCCTGTGGGGATCCTAGTCGCCTGCTGAGCTGTTTGAGTAAACAGGTCTTCCCTCACTGATTTTAGTCAATTATTTTTACCACTAACAACTCTGTGAGCATGCTGGCTGAGCTGCCTCATGTGGCCAGTGGTTTGATACCTGATCCATTCTCTCTGTGCCCTATGCCAGGAGGAGCCCCCAAGGAGCTCAGCTGAGAGTGAGTCACTCAGAGCAAAGCATGACCCTTCCTGAGGTACACAATGCAGGCCCAGAGATCTCATCCTAGCTGCTCTGTCCCCCTCCCATGTGCCACAGGCAGCATACCTTGCTGGACTTGTACACATCATCCTTGTCGGCCGCCCTGGCATCCACGTCTGTGATGGCGTGGAGCAGCAGCTCTGTGATCCTGACGCCCTCCTCTCCAGGAAGAGAAGCAGCAATGTGGAGTGGGGTCAGAGCCCGCAGCTGTAGATGAAGTGCGAGCTGGGGTGAGGCACTCATGCCCAGAGCCCGGCAGGTTTGGAGTCGGGCGGGGGCCGATGGCAGGTACCTCACTGCCTGGCTGGGTTGGGAGGATGCACCATTCTCATTCCCACCAGCTCCATGGTGGGTAGAACAAGGAGGACCATGAGGGCAGACATAGGCAAGTGCCACTAAAACAAATGGACCAAAAGTCTGCAACACATCACACAATCCATACATGTTCAGGGCCACAGACATGAATGCTGGTCCTGAACCAGCTCAATTTTAAACCAGTTGTCCAACATCTTCCTCCAAGAAAAGCTTCTGCCTGTCCCTGGCAGGTTCTGGCCCAAATGCCACTACTTTGATGGTCAAGTAACTCCTGACCTGCCCATTCTCACCCAGGGCATCCCTCTGGTTAATAGCTGAGGTCCCTGACAGACTGTCCATGAGTGTCAGCAGCTTGGAGACAGCCACAGGAGACTCAGCCCCAGAGGCAACACTGCCAAGAAAGAGCCTGGCCAGAGCAGGCAGCAGGCTAAGGGACAGAAGGACACTCCCTAACCTGCCCCACCTCAGTCCCTCTGGTGTAATCTTGTTCAAACAGAAGATGGCCCTGGAAACAAGCACCCCAAGGCCTCCTGAAAATGGGATGCAGATAGGCTGAGGCCAGTGAGGGGGGGACAGAAAGGTGGGGAGGGAGGGAATGTGGTGAGAACAGCCATACATATCCCCTGCAGGGCCACCCAGGTCCCTACTGGTAAGATGGGAAGGTGGCAAAGGGTCTGGGGTAGAGGGAAGGAAGGACCGGGGAGTCTCTGCAGCTGAACACAGCCCCTGCTTCACCCACAGAGTCCAATGCCCACAGCTGAGAGCCTGCAGCTCCAGCCCTAATGGATGGTATGCAGTGGAGGAAAACATAGATGAACAGCCACCAGCACCATGAGGCAGGTCATCAGAAAGGTCACACACCCATGGTATCGACAAGCACTGGGAAAAGAGCACTTTAGGAAACTGTACAAGTCACAAAATAACACCACCTCAAAACTGTCCAGTGATGCCAGTGAAATAGTGGCAGTGAGCCATCACCAATGCCTCATAAGCCAGGAGGTCCCTGGCAGGGTAGGTCAGATCTACTGCCATGTACAAGCAAGTGCTGTCCTATACCTCAGACTCCCCCAGCCCTGAGGAACTGCAGACTTGAGTGAAGAGGAGCCTGGGGTCTGCATTTGTCCCAAGCCCACCTTGCTGGCTCCACCTCTCCAGTCACCCAGTGCCTACCTGAGGGGGGTACTGGATGTCAGTTTTGGCCCCGCTCTCCAGCAGTAACTTCACCCCGTCCACATCCCCAGCCTTCACAGCAAAGAACAGAGCCTGCATGGGCACACTGCAGAGGTTGGGGTCAGCACCTCGGCGCAGCAGCAGCTGGATGGTCAGCCAGCGGCTTCTCTGTCTGCAGGGACCCACACAAGGCGGTTACGGGTGGGAGGGAAGATGCAAGGTGATTGCCAAGACAGGATCCATCAGGATGGGAGGGGGTGTACAGATGCTCCCTGGGTGGAATACACTCTGGGAGGGGTGCCAACCCCAGAAGCACCCTGAGCCCCCATATCTAGTCCTTCCTGAAGACACCCAGGGTCACCCCCTTCCAATGGCCTGATCCCCACCCTGGGAGGCACAGCAACACAGTTGCCGCAGACTTCCTTGTGTGGGCCAGCCCAGCCATGGCCAAACCTGCTGGGACCCGGCTGGGCCTCCCATCTAGGTAGGTCACTTAGCCTCGGTGAGGTCACCTGTGACCTAGCTGACCAAAAGTGGGGGCCACCCCTTCCTGGGATGGCTATGAGTCAATGGCATACAGTTCTAGGTTCTGTAACTGGCAAGAGTTGTCCCCCACACCCCACAGCCCTTACCCCACATGCACTCACACACACCACACAAGCATGTACTCACAGGTACACACCACTCCACTCCACTCGTGTTGAGGATGGACCCCCACCACAGCATTGCCTGCAGGCTTCGTTGGCGTAGGTGCATTGCCCCATCGGACACCCAGACAACAGGACACACACTCTCACAGTACAGTGACAGGTGTCTACTGATCACATGGCTCACCCCAAAAAGCCACCCCCTGCCCCCGCCAGCTGAGTACAGTGACCTACTCAAGCATGGCCTGTGCCATTCTCCTCACAGTCCCCTTGTCTGCAAAGCAGGGGACCTGCAGCATGCTGTACGCCCGAGCGCTCTTCTCCAAGATGTCCTGCGAGAGCTTGATGGAGTAGTTGTGTACACACTGCGAGGACTCAAAGTTCGTCTCATGGCTGCTCAGGGTGGTGATGTCCATGTTATCCTCTGTTTCCTCCAGCCCTTGCTCCGGGTCACCCTTCACTGAAGAGGAATCCCATGTGAGAGGGCTGCTCCATTGGCCAGTGCCCAGGGGCAGGTCCTCCTCTGTGCAACCCAAGACACCTGCTGACGGCTTCTGTTCCTCCCCCAGGCCAGTGCCCAGGGCCAGGTCCTCCTCCATGCCACCCGAGACACCTGCTGACGGCTTCTGTTCCTCACTGCCTGAGGTGGGCTCATTCATCTCATAGTTAGACTCCACATTTGAGAATGAAAATTTTGAGGTAATAAGGGCTTTTGGAGATCTCTTTGGAAGGCATCGAAAAGAATTTCATTAGAGGAAGGAGAACTGAAGCACCTCACAACACACCTATCCTCAGCAAAAGCCCACACCTGCAACCTGGAGCCACCTTCAAAGTTCACAAACCCTCAGAGGCAGGGACACCTGTGCAGCCACGGACAGAAACCTCAGGCTGAGTGGCCACAGCCCTGGGGCTTGTGATGCCACTGTAGCTCCCGAGCCACAAAAGGTGGTCCTTCCCGAAGTGAACTGCACTGTGGGTGTGAAGGAGAAAGAGGCCAGTGGCACCTCTTATTTCTGTGCATTGTGCGGATTACACACAAGAGAGGAGCCTGTTTTGGATACATTGAGCTAAATGAAGTGAAATGATTTCACCAGTCTTACGTTTTTAACGTAGCTATTTGTAACATTCTAACCATGCCCACGGCTGGCACTGTGGCTTGTGTTACATTTCTGTCAAGTGGCTCTGGTCTCCATCTGCTTCCATCTTGAGCCACAGTTCTCAAAGTGCAGCCCCCGGACTGACGGCTTGGGTCACAGGAACCAGTTAGAAATGTGCTCTTGGCGCCGCCTTGGGAGCACTGTTGCATATACCACCGTTTCCAGCACGCATGGGAGGGCAGACCTCAGGCTCCCAAGCTGCTGTGCGTGTGGCACATCAGCAACACCGGGGGCATCAGGCTCAGGATGCCTTGGGAATTCCCAGGCTCTGTCCTGCCCCCTTCCCCACTGCTTTTATTTTTTCATCATCCCACACAGAGAGAGAGAGGTTGACGGTGAGGTGGCTGACCTCGGACACAGTCCTCTCAGCAATGTTGGGCTTGAAGGATCTGCTGGGGTAGTAGAGGAGGAAGCACATGCTGAGGGGTGTGAGGCCCTCATCCGAGCGCTTGTTCACATCCGCCCCAAAGTCCAGGAGAAGGTTGACAATGTCATTGTGACAATGCACCTACAAGAAGACAAGGCCAGACTCGTGAGGGCAACAGCTGGCTCTCAGCAAAGGGCCACCTGGCACTGGTGCCACCTTTCTGAGGCTGCACCCTGGCAGGGTGGCACGAGCACCCATGTGTCAGCTTGGTAAAGGCGCACAGTCGGGTGAGTGATGCAGTGGGAGCTCAATGCACCCAAACCCTCCTTTTCCTCTAACTTTATGCATCACACTTAGGGGAATGGGTTTATGCTGAACATCGAGGAGCAGGTGTGTAACTGACAATACACCCTCTCCCTCACACCTCTACTCTGTTCCTGAAGAGAGGAAAACAAAGAGCCCTCACAGGTGGGCATTCCTGTGAACAGCCACCAGGTGGGGGAGGGAGACTTACAGCAGCTGCAGCAAGTACAGTGTAGCCCTTCGAGTCTGCTACATCAGCATAGGTAAGGTTGTTCCTCAGGATTCCATAAATCCAGTCATAGTCTCCTGCTTCAGCCTTCAGGATAATTTCCTTAGCAAACTGCTCCTTAGGCCCACTGCGTGCAAAGGCACTGCGGTTCCCCTTTAGGATGGCATCTATGTTCCAACTGGTATGAGCCTTCTTGTTCCTGGCAATACAATACCCTTCCATGGTGTTAGACCAGGGTCTGGACTGTCCCATACCTTCCATGATAAAGCGCCCAGGGGAGCTGCCTCCCGCTAATCCTTGCTGTCCTCAATCCTCAACCCCCCCCAAAAAAAACACTACCTGGGGACCTCTTTGCTGCCCCAAAAGTCTAGTCATTAGGCACCCTGAGCCTCCAGCAGCCAGTCACAATCAGGATGGAGTGCTTAGTGTGGAGACATGTCACATGTGAAGATGCCCGGACTAAGTGCCTGCTGCAGCAGGAATGTGCATTTCTGATTCCTTCTAGTCATTCTGTATCTTCTGGAAACAGGCTCCCACAGCAGGGACCCTGGGTGGTAGGAGGCTGGCATATACATGGGTCCACTGCTCACCATGAAGCAACAATGTCCTACCTTCTGCTAATCTGCTCTCTTGTTTGAGTAAAAAAAAAAAAAAAAATACATGTCCCTTGACCCATTCACCACAAAAAACACCGAAGCTTCCTGTGTGCACAGAACCTTTTGCAATCAAAAATCCATGGATTTATGGCAACTTCTGTATCAACAGCTGTGAGTGATTGGGGGCTAAGTTGATGTTTGTGCCATAATGGATAATTGGATAGATGGATGATGGTTGCATGATGGATGCACTGATGGATGGATGGATGGAAAAACAGCCATTTCTGCTCAAAAAAATGTTTTCTAAACTGGTTTAATGATATCTGATGGCAATGTTTAGGATATAAAAGAACTAAAAGATTCTTGAGTGTTTTAACTTTAAAAAAGTAAATAGGCCAGGCGCCAGTGATCACGCCTGTAATCGCAGCTATTCAGGAGGCAGAGATCAGGAGGATAGTGGTTCAAAGCCAGCCTGGGCAAAGAGGTCACGAGACCCTATCTCCAATGAACCCTTCACAGAAAAGGAGCTGGTGGAGTGGCTCAAGACATAGGACCCAAGTTCAAACCCCCGTACTGAAAAAAAAAAAAAAAAGTAAACACTTTTTTCCTGAAGTGGGTCCTGACTTCCCCAGGACTGGAGGTATGGTGTAGGGTCTTTGGAGACCATCACAGCAGTTCTATTTTTTCGTGGCCATCCTTGGAGAACCCAGAGGTCCACTCAGTCTACAGGCTGCACTTCTGCCTTGCATCCCACCCTTGGCTCTCTGCCAGAGCTTGCATTAATGTGTGGTGGTAAGAACAGTCCCTTCTGTCTGTGCTGACCCCAGGCCAGAACTTGACCCAGAGAACATGTAAGGGGCAGGAAGCTGGGCTTGGGGTGCTCCAGCTCTGACCCACCAGATTTGCCCTCAAGTCTCTCCACTCGGAAGTTTATCCTAAGTCACATCGTCCTCCAGGCTCCACACCTGCTTTGGGGCTACCCTGGCTGCCCACTTACCAAGCAACTCCTGACTACCCTTCCCCAGTGAATAGGTGAGTGGGATTATGGGGTCCTGAACTCCTGCACAACCACAGATGGCCTCATGGCCCTGTCTGACCCCTACACTCAGGCATGGTGGGGTCTTTCTTCTCCCACGTCACACTTGGGCTTATCTGCTACTTACACAAGAGCTGCACATTCATGTTCACCTGATGAACAATGCTGAACGTTACTCAGGCCCTTAGCGACAGCCCCACACTGAAGGACATAAGGTACCTGACAGGGTGGGGAACCCTACCTAAGGAGGGGACACTGGGATGGAGAGAAAGATCATGCTGATCACCTGAACTTGTAGGTTTGCTTCTGAATTTTGACCAACAAAGGAGTCTTGTTTATTACAAACCAGGGCTCTCCATCCTCAACAAATGGAGGAATATCATTCATGAAGATCCTGGCATCCAGCTCTCTTCGGAAAGAGCCTGGCATGGGTAGGTGCTTGTTGTCGGTTGAGTAGATGTGCATTTCTGGAGGCAGTGTGAGGTCGTCATTCAGAAGAAACCGTTTATAGTCATAGAAGAAGGGGTCCTGCCCCTCAGCTGGCTCCCATTCCACTTTCTCCTCATCTGAGAGACTAATTCTCTCCTGAGAGTGTGTGCGAAAGGCTGAGAACTCTGGGTAGTTGAGTAGGGAGAAACTGTTGCACGACTCTGTGCTCAGTTTAATGAGGTGCTCACGGAACCACAGCCCGACATCCTGGCTGCCGTCGGAGTAGGTCTCGATGCCTGGCCCAAAGCGTTCATCTGCTTTATACAGGCCCTGCAAGGAAAATCCACAGGGCCAAGAGAGACACTTGGCTGAGCTGTCTACTTTGTAACAAGTTTCATGAGATCAATAGAAGAAATGTCTTTGGTTATTCCACAACATTTACCAAGGCTGACAGAAGAGCAAACGCACAGAGAAGGGTGCTGTGGAGAGTGGGGAGGGCCCAGGGCCAAGCTGGGGCCTCTCTCAGAAGGCGAGATCAGTACCAAGGGCTTCAAGGTAAAGGTGTGGTGGAGACACAGGTAGGTTGGTTCATTTCCGGGAGCCTCCCACAACCCTAATGGTAGCTGCCAGGCAGGCACTTTGGGAGCCAGGTGCATATACTTACGGGGCACAGCTGTTGATGCTGTAAATGACTCTTAGCATGCTCTCAGCTCTTTTGTTGTTGTTTAGTTAGATGAGGTACTCCAGAGAGCTCACTAGGAACAGGCCAAGTCACTGTGTCCTTGGGTCACTCTTAGGTGATCCAGAGTAAATTTTGCTCGTATAATACTAAATTCTCCTCCCAGAGGCACTCTGGTCTGCTGTCTGAACATGTGATGCAGGACCTCAAACTGAGCATGCTCAGGGATGTGCCCAAATCCACAGGTGATGATGAGTCTTTCTTATTCATGTGAACAGGTACGGTGTACCCAATAAAAGCCCCTTGCTGTTTTGTTCTGGGAGACCATCTTTGAAATTATCTCCCATGTGCCCCTTACTACAAACCCTTCTCTGCTCCTATCTCCCAGTTGTGCTTACTGGCTTTGTGCTCACCAAGAGGTGAGCCCATTGCATTTGGTTACACTGACACAGCTCAGGCATCCAGACAGGCTGGGGTGGCCATGTGCCTGGTGGAGGTGCAGGCAGCTGATCAGACAGGCCCTGGTGGGTCTGAACTGAGAAGGGGAGAAGGAGCAGGAGAAGAAAGAAGGAGGAGGGACAGAAACTATTCCATGGTTCCTGTGACCCCAGAACAGACTGCAATTGCTAGGCCTTTATGGATGCTCCTGTATTCTCTCCCTTCTATCTGTCTGGATATGCAGAGGAGAAAGATCTGGGAGGATCTTGGACAAGAAACAATGATCAGAGCTCCAGTGTGGGAAACACAGCAAAGTGCCAGATTCCCAGGAGAAAATCTGGGGTGCCAAGCAAGACAAGGGGCCAGGGATGCTGGCAAGAGAACAACAGTTGCCCACATGTACATGGAGTCCAAAGGTGCTCATATCCTTGACCCAGCAGTTCTACTTGCAGGAATCTATCACAGGGAAGGAATCCAAATGTCACCAAAGACACAACCACAAGCTCATCCCACCACAGCAGTATGTATAACAGCAAATAACATAACAACTCAAAGGTTAAGTGAAGGAGGTATGTGCACAGAACGAAAACACAATGCAGGCCTTTAAAACTATGCTTTTGAAATGCATTTCCTTTTGGATCAAACAATCCCCCTTCTAGGAATGCATCCCAAAAAATCACCAGCTAAAAATGCAGGAAGATGAGCCAAAAAGACTGTTCACTGATGGAAAGTCCACAGGGTGAGTCCTTCCAAACACCAGTAAGAAGTAGGGTCTGTCTCCAGAAGGGTGTGGAAAGCACACCCTTCCCATCATCTGAAGGAGAACAGGTTTGCTCATGTTTTCTAAGAGCAAGATAAGCCCTGAACTACAAAAACCATCACCTGTGCCAAGACAGTACTCAAGATGAGGAAGAGTGGAGCTAGAATCCTCTGGACAGAACTTGCATTCCAGATTTGACTTTGGAATGATGCAACAGTTTTTAGATAATTACAAAATTGTTTGTTTGTTTTGGTCTTTTCAGACAGGGTTTTGCTATGCAGCCTTAGGCTGGCCTTGAACTTACCACCCTCTGGCCTCAGCCTACCCAGTGCTTGAATTACAGGTGTGTGCCACCATGTCCCACTTAAAGAAAAATGTCTAAAAATAGAATCCTAAGAAAAGAAAATAAATGCCAGGCACTGGTGGTTCATACCTGTAATCCTAGTTACTTGGGAGGCTGAGATCTGGAGGATTGCAGTTCAAGGCCAGCCCAGGTAAATAGTTCGTGAGATTCCATCTCCAAAATAACCAGAGCAAAATGGTCTGGAGGTGTGGCTCAAGCAGTAGAGTGAATGCTTTGCAAGTGTGAAGCCCTGAGTTCAAACCCGTCTCACCAAAAAGACAAAGAAAAACAGCAAGTAACTATAGCTCTGTCTATAGGTGGTGGGTTATTCCCAAACATGATTTGAGTCCACATCCCTTTGAGACAAGCCCTAAGGACAAAAAAGATGGCAAAGAAACCTTGGATGGACCAGGAATCACAATGGTAATAAAAATAATGCTACACTATCACTTCAGAAGCAATGCAACTTATTTTATGAGATAAAGCAAATAAGAAAATTTGCTAATGGTTAGAAGCCTAGGTTTCTAAAGCTAAGAGAAAAGAAATACAAATATGATACCATAACTATTAGGTAAAAATCCTGTGCTCTAAATTGTAACTGGGAGTGTAAATATAAATTAAGGTATATTTTCTCCTTAAAAAAAGTATTTCCCAAAAATTAACTCAAAATTGATGAAAGGCCTTAATGTAAAACCTGAAACCTTGAAACCACCACAGGAAAACATAGGGAAAAGTCTGGAAGATACAGGCATAGTTAATGTTTTTCTGAGTAGGACTCCAATTGCCCAGAGACAAGAGCAAGGATTGACAAATTGGACTTCATCAAATCAAAAAGTTTCTGCACATCAAGAGAAACAATTACTAGAATCAATGGACAACCCACAGAAAAACTTCATCAGCTATTCGTGGATACAGAATTAATATACAGAATACATGGAGAGCCCTAAAGCATGGCTCGAGTGATACAGCACTGTGCCTAGCAAGCACAAAGCCCTGACTTCACAACTCAGTACCATCAAAAAAAAAAAAAGACACTGTGAACAGAATATACAAAGAGCTCAAAACACTAAGCAGCAAAAAAATAAATAATCTAATTAATAAGTGGACAAGTGAATTGGACAGTTCTCAGAAGAAGAAATACAAATTGCCAATAAATACAAGAAGAAATGTTCAACATCTTTATCCATCAAGGAAATGCAAATCAAAACTACACTAAGATTCCATATCACACCACTCAGAATGGCCACCATCAAGAAAACAACAACTAATATACAAAGCAGAACTTAGAGCTATAAGGACTAATTTTAAAAACCCACAATCATAGGAGGATATGCTATCATGCCTTACTCAGTCAGACTGATCAGACAAAAAAACCTAGCAAGTTTATGTAAGACTTAGAACAACACAAATAGCAAAAGTGGCAAAGGGACACAGAAAATGGTGTGCTCGACAACTGCAGATACGCACTTTCTTCTCATGAATACACCAGCATTCAAAAACTTGTCTATGATCTGGGTCATACAGCAAGTCTCAGCAAGTTTCAAAGAACTGAAATGATAAAAAGTATACAGGTATTCAGGAAACCAATCTAAAAACCTCAGCTAGAGCCTGAACTCTAAACATTAGGCAGTGCTCTTATTAAAGACAGCGTTATTGAGAAGAAATTGCGATAGGAATTAGAATACATTTTGAACTAAATGAAAGCCACAATATGATAGAATCAAAACTGTGGAATAAGAGCCAATATGTGTATCAGATTTTAAAAAGGCAAAAAAAAAAATCAGTGTTAGAAAAGTAGAGCAAATGGGGGGTAGGAATTGGATAATAAGGAGCTGGATAGTGAAAGAGAACCAAATGAACAGAAGATCAACTGGGTCAAAAGCTGATTCTCTGGGGAAAAATAATAATAAGACTGAGACTAAGCAACGGAAGAGAGAAGGCACAGGGGCTTGTGAGATGTTCAGCACTGTCGATGAACTAGGGAAATGCTGAATAAGCCCCCAGTGAGACATGTGGTTGTGGCTGAGATTCAAACACCAAGTGACAAGGGAGACGCAGAGTACCTGCAGGAGGGGATGCAGACAGCACAGGCCCTGCAGAGGCGCAGCATCCCTTCCCCACATGACCTCATGGTCCTGCACTTAGGTATTTACCAAGTGAAATAAAAACCCATGTTTAATGTATACACGCATGCACGCGCACGCACACACACATACACACACACACACACACACACACACACACACAAGCTAAACATACATGTTTATAGCCTTTTTCACAATCACCCCAAACTGGAAACAACCCAGGTGTCTTTCAGTTAAGCTGAGTGGCTCCACACTTCAGAGACTGTTCAGTAACCAAAAGGAACAAACTGGAAACACAGGGCCATGTGACTGAATCCAACGCACATCCTAACTGCAAGACACAGAGTTTGAAGGCACACTTGCAGGATTCCACCACGTGGTCCTCTCATATGGGCACAAGGACTACAGGCCACAGCTCTGCCATGGCTGGGGACTGAAAGGGATGCCTTTTTTCTTTTTTAAGACAAGGTCTTACTATGTAGCCCATGCTGGCCTCAAGCTTACAATCCTCTTGCCTCCGCCCCCCAGGTGCTGAAATTACAGGTGTGTGCCACACGCCTAGCAAGGGGACACTTATTAGAAAAGTTGAGAGCAAGATTTTGGGGTGATGGGCCCTTCTATAACCCAATAATGTTAGTAGTTACACATCCTATGCCTGTCAAAACTTCCAGAAATCTATACAGTATAAAAGGACGAACTTTTACCAAAACTGTTAAAAAAAAATAAAAAAGATGGCAGTGGGGAGAGTGGTGGTAAACAAAGAGTAATATAGGTGGGATAAATTTGATCAAAGTGTATTACCATACATGTTGTGAACGCTAAAACAAAACCCCTTTGTACAATTAATTTACACTAATAAAAATTTTTAAAAAGTAAAAAAAGGGTGAATTCTACCGAAAATGATACTTAGTAAATTAAAGGAGAAAAAGGAGTATGTTCTCCAGAAAACAGGAAGTTTCAAATAACATGTACAGAAAGGTTCAATGTTTATATTGAAATAAACATTTTTAATGTATAGGACATACAATAGCTTACTAACATCCTTCTGGGGAGTAGAATAAAAATAAGGCTTTCATTTTCTGTTTACATCCTTATTATCAGTACTATTATAATCGTTAAAATAAGAAAGCTATGTCTACCTAAAGAACTCCCCAGAACCTAAATATCCTTTTCTCTTGTAGCCTAAACACACAACAGGCACCTGATCCTCACCTGAACATGTGGGTGCCCCGCCCCTCACGTAAACACAGTCCCCTCACCTGAAAGAGCCTTGTCTTCATGTACATGGTGCCATAACCTTCTCGGTGGCTGAGATAAAACATGCCAGTGAAACTGGAGCCATCCGGCCACGTGTAGGTGCCCACGCCATGGCAGTGGTCCCGGTAGAACTGCCCGCGGTAGGCCTGGAGGCAGAGAGGTCAGTAGGCCTGGTGCCTGGGTAAAGCTGCTGCCTTCAGGTCCCCCAAGCCTGGCAGGGCACCTGCTGGTGAATGGGACTGTGATAGTGCCTGGGCACAGGGCTCCAACATTGCCATGAGAGTTGGTCACTCCTGGAGCTTGGGGAGTTCAGAACTGCCTCCAGGTGCTACACCAGGAACATCCAGTGGAAAAGGATGGGACCCCTTCCCCAGGCTAGCAGGAGGGTGGCCACTGGTTGGGGTCTGGGCCTGGTTGGGAACAGGGTGGGGCTGACTTGGGACTCCTCAGCACTGGGGCTCATGGTGGACCCTACAAACATTCAGACCGACGTGTCAGAGCCTGCCTTCTCCTGAGGACACAGGCGCAGAACAGAAGGTGACATTTGTCCCCTGGGCTTACCAGCCTTGGGTTTGACTCTTGTGCTGTTAGACCATGCCTCCCTCCTCAGAAGAGGCCAACCAGGAGCACACAGGGGCCAGACCTGACACCCAATTTCCCGCTCTTCTGACACAAAACACTGCTTCCCTGCAGAGCAGCCTCTGGGACCCCAGCCTGCACAAGGACTCCTACCCAGCTCCAGCCTGAACTCAGGTTTGACCACATCACCTGTCTCTAAGCCACATCTACGTCCTGCTAGGACTCTTTATCTCCCAAGAGCATGTGCAGCACCCCAGGGATTGCCAGATGACAAAAGGTCAATTGGCCTGCCACATGGACATGGGAAGGTGATGGTACATTACTCCTGGACTTGTAGTCACAAGAGGCAAAAAGGTCCTCTTCAGTTTCAGCTGGACCTGGGTTCTGTTGGTAAGAGTTTGGTCTGTACAAGGACAATCAGCAAGCAGGGAGGTGATGAGGCTCGTGCTTGCCCTTCTGCCAACGTGTACTGGATTTGTAGATGCTGCCGTGGCTTAGCAGAGGCCACCCAGCCAAAAGAAAGAATCGTAAGTTGTGAATTGTATGAATGGAACTGCAGCAGGACCACTAAGCCCACAGCTCCTCACACTTCCATGCATGACAGATTTTTATCATCCTTAGAATGCAAGGCTGGAGGGAACATGTCCATCCTTCTGTCTGTTCCCCTCCCCAACAGCTGATCCTGACACTAAACATGGCTTAGGATTTCTTGAGTCCCTGGTCCTGGGACTCATGGCTGTATCTTGTGTCTCAAAAAGACAGTTCATGTGTTCAAGGTCATGGCTCATGAGGGGCCTTCTCTCTTGTCCTTGGGCCTCCTTTAGTTAACGAGCTGCTCAGCTGGACAAGCATCTGCACTGTGGACCCAGCAGTCCCTGCCCTGTGGTCCACCTCAACACTCCACCTCAACACTCCACCTACTGTTCTCCCTTCCCTGGGGAGGACCCGGAATCTGGAGAACTCTGAACTCTGAACTCTGAACTGTGAACCAAGAACCATGAATAAAGTGAGTAAAAGAACAGCTGAGAACTCAAGACACAAATGCTGATGAAAGAATGAGGATGAATCATTACTGTCATGACACTCCACACCAGCCAAGTCCCCAGTCAGAGTCTTGGAGTCTCTACTGATCTCTGACTGAATCCCAAGGTACAGACTGGCACTGGGCCTTGGGGGGCTATGCCCGTAGTCACTGCCACTCCCTGATCTTGGAGGACTCCTGTCCCTCTTCTCACCATTCCCCAGGCTCTATACTGAGACCCCTGCCTTTTTCCCTGTCTCTGCTCTCCTCTGGGAAAGGGCTCTGCCCAAAGGCTCACCCTTCCTCCATGTTACACCCCTGTTCTGAAACACTCCCACTGAAAAAAGCAGATGGCCACATGGTGCCTGCCATTGTCCTACCCCAGGCTACAGCTGCCTGGATGGGCTTGGTTGCCTGACCAAAGCAGGGCTAACCCATATGGTCTGTGGGTCTGTGTTCCATAGGACTGTGTTCCATGTAGTGTTCCTTGAACTAAAGGTACTAGGCACAGGGGAAGGGGCTGGGACAAATAACCCCAGCTTTGGGCACCAAAGTCAGAAAAACCATGCCTCCAGAGGCAGAACTGTGCATGAAACAGAGGGACAGATCCAGGAGACCACTAACCCCCTCCAGAGGTCATGCACCCAATGCCTTCCTGGAAGGGATCCAGGCTGGGCCTCCTGGTGGTTTGCCCCTGACTCTTACATGCATCCCCCCACCTTGTACACCTTTGCATTGCCTTCCAATGAAGTCTGGGTTGAATTGCACAATATTCGGGCAACACCAGGAAAGAGTCCTCTACGTGGACAGGGTATAGGTGAGGAGGCATAACTGGAAAAGCTTCAAAACCCCAAATCCCACTGGTAAATGGCCTGAACCCCCAGACATAGCAGTCCCCAGTTTTGCTGCACACGTAGCCACTGCACTCAGCCAAGGACACCAGGAGGCACAGAGCTTTGGCTATGGGGACCCAGTCTCAGCCCAGAAGTCTCCACTGACATCCTAGGTGCGGTCTAGCACCGGGTGCTAGAATGTTTTCATTTTGTCTTTAAGAATACCCTTTTTCAGTACTAAGGTAGAAAAGAGAAAAATAAAGGAGATCAATCAATTTGGGTTATAATATGTGTATATATGTGTGTGTGTGTATATATATATATATATATATATATATATATATATGGAAATGTCATAAGGAAACTCCCTGTACAGCTATCTTAAACAAAAATTTCTTTTTTTTTTTTAAAAATATTGGAGAACAGAAGGGCAGAACAGGTGCTGGCTGGGGGGCTGGTACCAGTGGGAGGGGGGAGGAAGTGGGGAAAGGGTGTAGGAAGGTGAATATGATGTAAATACTGTGTACACATGTATGGAAAATGAGACCTGTTGAAACTATTCCAGGAATAGGGGAGAGGGATAAAGGAGAATGTATTTGATATATTGTAAGAACTTTTGTAAATGCCACAATGTACCCCCAGAAAAACAATTTAAAAAGAAACAATACCCTTTGTCATCTGCTTAATCTTAAACACAAGGCAATTTCACAAGTGTAAATGCACAGGTCTCTGTAGTAATTTGCAAGTTTAAAAACATTTGTCCAAAGGGGGCAGCCTACCTTGTCCTATGGATGGATGGTGCAAAGGTTTGCATCACCTGGCTCTCAGGAGAGGCAGGGCCTAGGCCCTAAGGAAGGATGTGGGGTAGCAGCAAGTCACCTACCTCACCTGTGGGCCAAGAGAACTCGCCACACCCAAGCTTCATGTTGAGCCCAAACTCCCCTCGGTAGACGCAGCCATCTTGCCATTCCTGAACACCATGGGTGAGCTGGATATAGGCCCCCTTCAGGTCCTGCTCCTGCAGGGGGCCCACGGACTCCTCATCTTCCTCCCTGGAGACTTCTGGCCTGTCCCTAGGAAGAAAGAGAGTAGAGGGAGGGGCAGCAATGAAGGCTGAAAAGTCTTAAGAGTGACTGTACACCGCCTGCCATCTCATTTCACCCTCAGAACCCTGAGGCATTTACTGTTGTTACAGAAAGGGAAACTGGGGTACAGAGGGTGCAATGATAGTTCAGTGGCCCACAGGAGATGGAAAGTGTGGAAAAAGTACAAATGGATGAGTAAATGTGCCAGTTCTAAGGCAGGACCAGTCAGCCTGTGTATTCTCATTTTTCCACATGGGACAGAAATTACTTGTCTAATTAAAAAAGTATTAATAAGGATGGGAAAGAAAATCAACAGTGGGAGTAGGAGAAATAAAAGTTTTGTTTGTTTGTTTGGGACTGGAGTTTGAACTCGGCTTCGCACCTGTAAAGGTTGAGCCAGACTTACAGTCCATTTTGCTCTTGTTATTTTTTGGAGATGGGAGTGTTTCATACTATTTGCCCTAGATTGCCTCGAACCTCAATCTTCCTGATCTCAGCCTCCCAAGTAGCTGGGATTACAGGTGTGAGCCACTAGCACCCAGGTGAAATGAAAGTTTTAAAAACTTTTTCCTGAAAAAAATAAAAACAATTTTGAAGTCAACAATAAAATTATAATATAACCAATCAACTGTAAGATTCACTTAAGGGTCACTGGAGATGGCCCTTGACACAGTGGGCAAGGGCCTGGCTACCTGGTGCTGCCACCTCCAGCTGCTTGGCCTACAGGGGCTCTTTGCCCTATTCATGACTCAGTTTCCTCATCTGTAAAATGGGGATTGTGTTAGTCTTCTGGGGCTTGGGGTCCTAAACAACCATTTATTTCTCATGGTTCTAGAGGATGGAAGCCCAAGATCAAGGTGTCAGAAGATTTGGTTCCTGATGGGGGTTCTCCATGACCACAAGTGGAACCCTCTTGCTGTGAGCTCATATGGCAGGGAGAGTGGAGAGAAACAGTGGTCTGGTCCCTCTTCCTCTTCTAATAAGAACTCTAATGCATCACAGGGCCCCCACCTCCTGACCTCATCTAAACTTCCCAAAAGTCCCACCTCCAAATGCCATCACACTGGGGTTAGACTTTCAACACAGAAATTTTAAGGTATACATTCAGTCTCTAACAGGAACGCATACAATGGGGCTGCAGGTGCATTTCATGAGTTACTACAGGTAAGGCTCTGAGGGCAGCACCTAACACAAAGTAGCCCTTACTCTTAACAGCTCAGCAGTGAATGAGCTGTGATGGGTAACAGTATGTAAGACAATTTTCCTTCCACCTACTAGATGAAACTGGCTGAGATGCAGGATGAGGTACAGGATTCTGATCATCCATGACATACCATTTTCCTCACCGTGCTTGACATAGTAGTAAGGCTTATCTCCAGAGGTAAAAAAAATTTAAGTGGTTTTTAAGGCCTGCACCAAAGGTGCATCCCAGCTAGCTCTGTGTCCGGGGGACATGGTCGGACCTCCCCGCCGGAGGGCCCCAAGCACCTTCTAGGGAAGAAGGTGTAGTTGTCCAGTGCCTCTGAACCCTCGGAAGCAGGGGGCTGGCTGCCCTGACCAACCAGCAGGTCTCTGGCTTTGTAGTCCAAGGTGTCTGGAGAATGACCACCTTCCATGTCTCTCCTCTTCAAACCTAGAAACAAGGCTGGAGCCACAACTCGCGCTCAGGACCTGTGCGGAGTCCGGGAGGCGCCTGGGACATGCCCACAACCCCACCCGACTCAGGTGAACAAGGCTCCGCTCCAGGCCCCCAAATTCCCGCCGGGCGGCCCGGCTACCGAGGCGGCTCGGCCTCAAGTGCGCCTGAGAGCGTCCAGGGTCCACCAGGAGCTGCCACCACGAGGGAGGCTGGGACCGCGTTGGGGATCCGGCCTTGCCTGCTAACCCCCTGGGGCGCCACCACCTCCGAGGACGTAGCCCCCCCAGCCCCGCATCACGGCCGCCGCGGGTTCGCACCGAGGCTCCGGGAGCGTGCACCGGACCGTACCTAGCCCCGGAGATACGGTTATGAGCGCGTCCGGTATCCCTGGAGACCACCTAGCGATCTCCGCCAATCACCGCACTTTGCCGCGCTAGCCCCGCCCCTGCCCCAGCCTCCGCCAATCCCCGCGCAGGGCATGCAGGCCCTGTTCCTCCACCCCACCCCACTCCCGCCCTCGCCTTCCTCAGTCTCCGCCAATCCTCGGGCCTCCTAGCGTCCAGGCCACGCCCCCAGGGGGGGAGTGTCTCTTGCCACACTGCGGGACAGACTGCAGGGGATACTGCCAGCACCTTGGAGGAGGTAGCTCAGAAGGATCTGAGGCCCCGGCTTCTGCCAGGACTTGGGACAAGGTGTTGGTGTGCCGAGGGCACAGCGGGAGACCACGGCCTCACGGGGGGCGGATTCGCTGTCCGGCCGGAGAGGAAGACCCCCGAAAAGTAGGCCCTGGGGCTGGACTAGGGCGGCCCAGGCTCCCGCGGGTGGGCAGCCCTCTGCGAAGGGGTGGGACTCTCGCCAGCCCAGAGCAAGGGGCATTTCCTGCCCGTACCAGTTCCTCTGCCTCCCTGGTCCCATCTCTTCTCCCCTGGAGCCTCTCAGCCTCGCAGTGCGCACCATGGATCCTGGGTCCCTGCTCTTGACTGCTCAGTCCTCCCTCTCTGCCCTGCAGTGCATCGCAGGGAGCTGAGCAGAGGCGACCCAAGCTGTTTAAAATTCCACGTTATGAAGGAGAAAGGAAAACAGTCAAGGGCTGCGGTGGTAACTCAGTGATGAGTGCTTGCCTAGCATTCACAAGGTCTGGGGTTCCATCCCCAGCACCGCAAAAACATCAAAATATCTCACAAACCAGGTAAACAGTACCACCTCTCGTGGCTGCAAATGTTCCCCAAAAAGTTGAAATCCCAACCCCCATACCTGTGAATGTTCCCAGATGGCATGAGGCCACATTGCATTAGGGTGGGCCTCAAACCAATGACTAATGTAGACATGAAAGCAGGGGGAAGAATCCAGTTCTGTTGCTGTGAGATGCCCATTTCCCCATGCTTGATACAACACCTCTGGGAAACTGACACACCACCCAGTAGGAGGACTAAATCGTACAGACAAGAAAACTATTTGTGGCAAATTCAGTAGGTCTGACAATTTGATCATTCAGTGAAATTAGCAAAAGAATTCTAAGAACTAAAATGTGGCTGAACCTATTGTTATGAAATTTAGCACACACAAGGGAAACAGTAGCATGTCTATTAAAATTCAACGGCTTTGGAAATATCAAAGAATTAAAAATGCAACGCAATTAGATCGAAGTGTGACATGTAGAAACAATGGTGGGAAAAGTAATTAAAATTCCAGAGGGATTCTTTCTCCAGGTTGCTTCTCAAGTGATTTTAGGTTCATAAAAGGAACTGAAACTGGAAAACAGACAAAATGCTAGGTGCCAGAGTGCCCTTCAACTGACCCCAGCAAAAACTGGCATCAGAGCAAAGATATGACATGAATATATGTGACATGTACCAAGTCAAATCCAAGGGACATGTATCAAGTCAAAATCCAGTGTTTAAGGTGGGTTTTTTCCTCTCTCCTGCTATCAACAGCCTTTTAGATTAGCACAATGATGGGTGCAAACTTGGGCATGTCTCAAACTAGAGACCCTGGTCCATCCCCAGAGGTTCGCTTTGTTTTGGGCAGTACTGGGGATGAACTGAAGGCCTAGTGCTCGCTAGCAAGTGGTCCAGTCCTTTTACTTTCACTTTTTCAGATAGGGTCTGGGTGCCTCGACCCTCCTACCTCACCCTCCTGAGTAGCTGGGGTTACAGGTATACACCACCACACCCAACCCAGTTTCTGACTTAGTAGGTTTGAAGCAAACTTGACAACTTGGATTCCTAGCCAGTTCCCAGATGATGCTAAAGCTGCTGGAATGTGAACCGTGCTTTGTGGTACTGTGTGGTGTGCAGGGAAGAAGGGATCTTGAATGCCAAAGACAGAACATTTCTAAGCAGAATGACGCAGTCTGCCCGTGTCCTCTGAATCAGAAGCTTCCTTTTGAGATGGTCTGTGTAGTCCACATAGCCTCCTGTGCAGCCTTCCTCATTCTAGGTTAGAAGGTGGGATGGAAGTAATGGAAAATTAATTTCTGGTAGAATGGTTGCAGTCTTAAGGATGGAAATGAATCAAAAAAGTTTTCACTATTAGAATAAAATTAAAGCTGCAATTAACTAAATGTCTGTGGGGCTAGGAGATATTGACTTTTTGCTGAAACCATTCCCTGAAAAAGTAATGAACATCAGAAAAATCGATTGAAGAAATCATCACTAAACAACTCTAAGTGATTTCTTAAATTTAAAGTTACAATACTGACCCGAACAATAATTAAGAAAAATAACAACAAGCCGGGCGCCGGTGGCTCACGCCTGTAATCCTAGCTACTTAGGAGGCAGAGATCAGAAGGGTGGCGGTTTGAAGCCAGCCCAGGCAAATAGTTCCGCGAGACCCTATCTCGAAAAACCGTTCACAAAAATAGGTAGGGCTGACGGAGTGGATCACGGTGAACGTTCTTAGTTCAAGCCCAGTACCACAACAACAACAAAAAAGAACAAAAGAAATCCTGGTCTATGAAGAAATGATGAAGACAATGGTAGTTTTATTTGATATAAACTACATTTTACAATGAAAAAAAGTTCTGGAAATAACAAGAGGTAATTTACTAGCAAACAGGTAACAAAAAGACATAAAACTGCAACAAGGTATCAAGACACCAGGAAGCCTTCTATCCCAGCCACGCGGCGTTACGAAAGACCTGAAAGACGCTGATCGCTGTCCAGATTAACACCCGTGACGAGGCCCACTCCCCAAGCCTGCTGCATTCGCAGCCTCCCGTCCTCCCAGACCAAGGGTGCCAAGGAGGGGACACGGCTACTAGGGACCTAGGCCACCCCCTGGCTCCTCCCACCGGCCGCAACCAATCCGGCTCTTACGGGCGCACAAGCTCAGCCAATCAGAAAAGCTAGTGCTAGGCCCCGCCCACTGGCCGCACCAGGCACCGGCCACGCCTTGGGGTCAGGCTCCGGGCGTCGGCTATGGGCCCCGGGACAGCCGAGCCCCGCGGGACCCTCGAGGCCGCGCCGCCGCCATTCGCGCGCGTCGCCCCCGCGCTCTTCCTCGGGAATGCGCGCGCCGCGGGCGCCACGGACCTGCTGGTGCGAGCAGGCGTCACGCTATGTGTCAACGTCTCCCGCCAGCAGCCCGGCCCCCGCGCGCCAGGCGTGGCTGAGCTACGGGTGCCCGTATTCGACGACCCGGCCGAAGACCTGCTGGCGCACCTGGAGCCCACCTGCGCCGCCATAGAGGCCGCAGCGCGTGCCGGCGGTGCCTGCCTCGTGTACTGTAAGAACGGCCGCAGCCGCTCGGCCGCCATCTGCACCGCTTACCTCATGCGCCACCGCGGCCTCAACCTGGCGCACGCCTTCCAGGTGGGGACTTCCGGGGCGGGCTCACTCTCGACGGACCTTCCGGTTGGGAGGCTCCTCATGGTGGGGCGGGGCCCAGCCGCGGAGAGTGCCTTCCGGTATGGGCAGACCTTCCGGTGGGGGCGGGGCCTCCGGTGGGGGCGGTCCGGCCGAACGCGTAGCAGTTGGCGTCCTGAGCGCTGACTTTGGCTTCTGGTCCCCTCTTGTTTACAGAAGGTAAAGAGCGCCCGCCCGGTAGCCGAACCCAATCCGGGCTTCTGGTCTCAGCTGCAGAAGTATGAACAGACCCTTCAGGCCCAGGGTCGCCTGCCCGGGGAACCTGCTGCTCCCAGCAGCGAGGAGCGGTGACCCCTCTAGAGCCGCCAGAAGGGAGGACCATCTGCACTGACAGCAGGCGGGGCCCCTCCTTTCCGCCCTGGGCCTTGTCTACGAAGAGGGAGCTGGGATGCTGCTGCCCAAGACCGTCCTCCACCCTTCCCTCCCTCCCTCTGGTCAGCTTCGTTTGTCTGTCAGGCTGTAGTCAGATCTAAACCACCAGAGGAGTTTTAGGCAGAGATATTTCATGCAGGAAGATGGAGGTGAAGAACCAAGGGCAGATGATGGAGAGTTGCCTGCTCCCCAGGAGCTGCATCCACGGTGACACCTCCTGCTTCCCAGGCCTCTCCTGGCCTATTCTCAGAATTGAACACGGAGCGCACAGTGTTCAGGCTTATAGCTGCTATCACCTTATTTGACCTGTGTCAAAATGGTGCCTGACACTACACAGCCACCATCATCCCCACCGTATATGCCCGTTCTCCCCTGGCTGGAGGGCAGGCCCATCAGTTGCCACCTTGAGCTGATACCTCCTCTAGTTCAGACACATCCTTTCCTAGACATCCTGTGGTCTTCAGACTCATGGAAAATTAGCATCCACACTCCTTAAATAAGATAGTGAAGAAAGAAAAGGAAAACAGGTGATAGATGTGAATTACAGATGATGTACACATTGGTTAATATATACAAATATATACGAGACTATGAATAAAGTACTGTAGCTGGTGTTTATCACTTCCCTTTTCCATTCCTCCTCCATTTCCTCCACTCTCAGCTGCTCCTGGTTTCTGGCCCCTACCCAGGGCTACAGCCTGAATACCAGTCCTCACACATCTTCCATCACCCCACTGTGCTCTGGGCAGCCCAGAGCCCAACTGCCCCTAGAGGTCAAAATTAATCAGTCCACCCGGGGCCCCTGGTTTGCCCCTGAGAAGCCCAAATGGCTGGGTGGTGTCCAGTAGGACACATCGCCAGGTGGACACACATCTCCAGGTGGAAACTTCCTATCTGTGAAATGAAGGCCTCTTACTCAGCAGAGTAAAGCACAGTTTGTAAGCACTGGGTGGCTGCAGGCCCCTCCTCCTGCACTCCTGGATGTAGGTTCTGGATGTGATGGAATAAGCCCATCACTTGTCCCTAGTTCCGAGCATCCACCACATCTTGTAGGGTGGTATCCACCTCTGCTCATCAGTCAGCACTGTTCACCCTTGCAGCCAGAGCTGCAATGACAACAGGACTACTGCCCAGCCTGGCTAGTCTGACTATGGTGGGTTTACCTCCCCAGTTCCCCTCATAGCTTGTCAACCCTATAAAGGAGACACCACCATTGTCCCCACTCAGCCAGCAAGGGTGCAGTGGCTTGCAAAGGAGTAAGGATCCAGGCCCAGGTTTTTACTCAATGTGTGCAGCTAATCCCTGCTCACAGAACCTTTGAGGGGGCCACCAATGCCCTCTCCCTAGGGCAGGGCTCATTCTCTAAGCTAACTGGCCGTCGATAACAAGAGTGCAAGAGCCACGGAGCCTAGGCCAGGTTGAAGGACATCTGGGTATCATATCAGATACTTCTCATCCCACCAGCTCTGTTCTGGAAACTATTCCACTGTGGCTTCCACCAGAGGTCCAGTTCTTCCTGGGATCTCTGACCCAGAGACAGAGCTCTAATGCTCCTCTAAACACCACCTCCTTCTGGGAGCCTTTGTTGTGCCCACTGGAGCCCTGATCACCTCAGTGCCCACCTAGTAGATGCGGCCAGGGTCCCACTGTGACTCCTCCTGGTACCAGTGAACATGAATGGGGTTGCCCCACTCGTGTACTAGAAGGCTGGGGTGTAAGTGGTGTGCCGGAGCTGCTTCGCCGCCCCTAATCACCGAAAGGCCGAAGCACGGAAATTCCTACGAGAGAAACCCAGGACTCTAACAGTCCTGGCGTCCAGGTTCTTGCCAGGGTCAGGCTAGAGTGGGAAAGACCCCGCAGCAACAGGGAGGCTTAGGGTGTTACGCTGACTCTCGCCGCCAGGGGGCGCCCCAGACAGGCTTCCCGGTTGGGGGACCGGCTCTCAGGCTTGGGCGGGGGCTGGGCGGTGGTAAAGGCACCTGCGGGTTTGCAGTTTGCAGTCTACTGGCTCCGCAGGTCACACGGTGCTTGCTGCACCTGCGAGGGTTCCTGGTAAGCTGACTTTAACTGCAAAACGTCCTTTCGCTCCAGAAGAGCTTGTATTGGCGCCTTATATAAATGTGAGGCTTAGGCACTCACTCGCCCACCCATGAAAGAGGTGGAACAGCTTCTCTGGACTGGCAAGACTGCGCCATTCCACCCCTCCTGTTCACAGAACCAGCCGGGGGAGGTACCCAGCGTTCTCTAGACAGTAGGGATGCGACCCCAACCTTGGTAAGGCACGCTCCAGGGCAGAAAGGGCAACAAGGGCCTAAGTTCTTCCAGACCTGGCCGTACAGACCAGGGTGGGCTCTGGAGAGTGCAGTGAAGGCAGTCTGCCCTGGGCTACCACCCCGCTGGACCCTTGGGCTGAAGGCAGCGAGGTGGGATCCCACTCGAAGTCTCCTCCTTCTTAAGTCTTTGATGCCGGACGAACTGCTGCCTCTGAGTGAAATGTATGAGACCCACAAGGGGAGCCCTGTCCCCCAGCTTGAGAGTGTATGTGGGGACCGGAGGAGCCACGGAGAACTGAAGCAGTACTTTCAGTGCTCACCCCCGCACGCGTGACCAGCTCTCCTCTCACCCTGCTTCCCACCCCACCCCCACCCTGGGGAAGGACAGGACCACGTGAGTTACAGATGAGGAGCCAGTGACGCTGCAGTCACACCACCATCAGAGCAGGAGGGGAAGTGCGGGGCTCCTGGATGTGTCCCCAGCCCCAAAAGCCCCTCTCTCCCTAAGAATCTCCTGTCCTGTGTCATGCCGACACAGCAAGTGGTGGCAGGTTAGGTGGAAAGGCCCCTGCTGGTCTGCAGCCTGCGATAGTGCAGGCCCGGACGACTCGGCCTTGGGCAGCCTTGTCCGAGCAGCAGAGAATGCGGCTCCCACACCTGCCAGCCCTTACAGCAGCATGGCCTGACCGAACCTGTCCATTAGCCTGTCATCCCACCCTTTCCCCACCGCACAAGCAGACCCGTGCGACTGACAGCTGAATTTCTCATTTACTTAATGTCAATCCAAACAGCCACACTCCTAAGGGGCTGCCGTACTTGACAACAGCCTTGAGTTTCCCGAGCTCCATCACACCGCGACACACGCCGGCTGGCTGGCTGGCTGGCTGGCTGACTCTCCAGGGACTGGGTCGGGGGACCACAAAATTCATTCCCGAAGCCTGAGGCCCCGAACCGACGGACAACACCGAGTTCCTGACGCCGAACTCCCGGGGCGCACAGAACGCACGGAGCCACAGCCGTCCCCGGTGCGCCCAGGTGTTACGGGGCTCAGCAGCGGCTGCTCCTGGACCTGGCCCGCAACGTCCGGGAGGCAGCGGCGACCCCGCCTCCCGGGGTGCGCGACGCTGGCCAGGTAGGAAGTTGAGGAGCGCGCGCCGGTCGCCCGCGAGCTCCGTCCCCGCGCACCGCGCACCGCGCCGCGGCTCACAACGCCCTGACTCCCCACGTAGCGCCGCGGTTCACAACCCTCGGACCCCGGCCCTCCCCGCCGGCGCTCAGGCCCCGGCCCCGCGCACAGCGCCCCCGGCGGCGGCCGAGCGGAGCCCGAGCGGGGCGGCGCACGGCGCGGGGCCGGGCCGGGCGGCTCCCGGCGCGACTTCCTGTTGTGCCCGCGCCCCGCCGCCGCCGCCGCCGCTGCCGCCACCACCGCCGCCGCCACCGCTGCCCGGCGCCCCTCGCCCGCGGCCCGGTGCGGCCGCCGCCCATGGATTTCACCTAGCGCCGGCGGCCATGGCGGCGCAGTGCTGCTGCCGCAAGGGACCCGGCGCCGAAGCCGCGCCGGCCCGCCCGCCGCCGGAGCCGCCACCCGCCCTGGATGTCGCCTCGGCCTCCAGCGCGCAGCTCTTCCGCCTCCGCCACCTGCAGCTGGGCCTGGAGCTGCGGCCCGAGGCGCGCGAGCTGGCCGGCTGCCTGGTGCTGGAGCTGTGCGCGCTGCAGCCCGCGCCCCGCGCGCTCGTGCTCGACGCGCACCCAGCCCTGCGCCTGCACTCGGCCGCCTTCCGCCGCGCCCCCGCCGCCGAGACGCCCTGCGCCTTCGCCTTCCCCGCCCCCGGGTCGGGGCCCCCGCCGCCCCCATTGCCGGCCTTCGCCGAGACGCCGGCCTCCGAACCCGCCTGCTGCCCACTGGCCTTCAGGTTGGACCCGTTCACCGACTACGGCTCTTCGCTCACCGTCACGCTGCCGCCCGAGCTGCAGGCTCACCAGCCCTTCCAGGTCATCCTGCGCTACACCTCCACCGACGCCCCCGCCGTGAGTCTCGCCCGGGTGGGCACCGGGGCTGCGGGGCTCTCCAGACGTCCTCTTGCCGCATGGACTGGCCAGGGGATATTCATCTGCACCCTGCTCCTGGGGCACCTGCAGAGAGAGCGGGGGCAGCCTGTTCTCCCGGGTGCCCTAGCTGATTACCAGCTGTTGCCTGCAAGTTCTTAGGAGCTTCCGATAGAGCCCCAGGTCCAGGCCCAGTGGGCACGGGGCCAGGGGACAGCATGTCACACGGTGAAACCTCCCGTTCAGGTGTTCTTTCCCGGTGTGGAGACAAGAGCAGTTTCTGGTGGGCACCTGCCAAGCCATGTGTCTGCTGGAGCGTGGCATTAAGGAGTAGGCCGGGAGTGTATGCTGCAGAAGGGCCTCCTTGTGACCTGAGCCTTCAGAGGGCTTGAGGATACCCTGGTCTATGCCCTAGAGGTGGAGTGAGGGACAAATGGTTCCAGTGGGAGGCAGAAGCCAGGCGGTGTAGGCTGTGAGGCTTGACTTTGAACTTCTGGGGCTGGACTGTGGGGTGTTGAGGAAGGTGTATCCCACCTCCCAACAGACACACTAGCCTCTGCACAACTTTAGCACAAGGTACCCTCTGTGACCCCAGAGGTCCTGCCAGAAAACCAGGTGGGCCAGGGTGGGCGCTGTGGCTCACAGCCTATAGTGGGACTTGCAGGATGGAGCATGTCCCAAAGCCATGAAGGCTCCCAGCTAGTATGGATAGCATACATGTGACATCCGGCGTACATACACACCACACATGTAGCTCTGCAGGCCCTGGGAAGGTCCATCTGTCACTGCCTGGTGCATCTAGTACAAAGGCTGACAGCCATGAAGGACCAAGGTAACATCTGGTCAGGAAGAACCCAGATTAGATGCACACCTGCGGACTTCCTGCACCTTTCCCAGCAACCAGCCCCCTCACTTCTTTTCAGATCCTCTGCTGGTGTGCTAGCTGCTGGCCTGCTGGGCTCAACCCAGTGCCTGCCATGGTAGTGCAAGGCTCTGCAGGTGGCAGTATGTCTCCTCACGTGCCAGGTGAGAACTAAGGGATAGGCTCCTCCCTGGTCTCCAGATATGAACTTGGACCCCGTATGTCTGGTCTACCTGTGGCCATCAGGGTGGTGAGACCAGGGACCTCACTTGGTTGCTACGACAGTGCCATTGATCAAAGGTGGTTGCTGTTTCTGGCTTCCCCGCCTGCTGAGTGGCCCTTGCTTGCTCCAGGGAGGGTACATGGTCCCCACAGACTGACTGGCACCATAGCTGGCGGGCTGGGAACAAGGGGCCCAGCCTGTGAGCTGGCCCACATTTGTGGAACCAGAGTGGCCTCCGACATCAGGCACCCACGGTTGCACGTGAGCACTGCAGAATCAGAGCTCACATCCCCTGAGTCTGTCTCTGAGCCAAGTGATTATACAGAAGGATGTGGAGGTTTTCTGGGAGGCCTGCTAGTGGGCCCCAGACACCCAGAGGAATTTGGAGGTGCCACAGACTCAGGCCCGTGCCCTTGCACCCTAGTCCTGCACCCCCACCCCAGCAAGAACAATTTGCAGTGTTGGAGTTCATAGGCCCATTCTTTCTCCCACAGGCTGTCAGCTGCTGTACCTTGGGGCGGGGTTGGGGACCCACCTCTGGGCGGGGCCTGGCCCCTCACTCTAAGGGAGTGGGCCTTTGGTCTCTGGAAAGGCAGTCAGTCCACTGAGGCCAAGGGGTGGATATGAAGCAATGGGAGACAGCTGAGAGCTGAGAGCAATGGCAGAGCTTGAGGGATTATGGGAGAGGGGAAGGGAGGGCAGCTACAGGAGTAGAGCAGGTGTGAGGGGTTTGAGTGGGATTGAGAGCATTTGGGGGCCTGTCCTCCCACAGTGGGCCAAGGACTGCCTGCAGCAGGATCCACTACAAGGATGCTCCTCCATGCAGGTACCTGGGTCACAGGTCTGTGGATCCCAGAGCCCTGGGGCAGGCCCAAGAGGTTGCATTTTGGAATGAGCTCCCTAAACAGGTCCCTGAGCATCTGGGGAAGACCGGGACCCAGCAGAAAAGGAGGACGTAGCTTCAGGCTTGATGTGGTTAGGGGACAGGGACAGGGCAACCAAAGGGACTTGGAAGAGGACCATGAATGCTGGCAGGGGCCTGCAGAGAAGGCAGCCCCACCAGGCCTGGGGTCCACCTGAGTGTGGGATCTGTAGGACAGGTAGTCCCCTGGATCTGGGGTCTATGAGTTAGCAGCCCTGCTGGCTCTGGATGTATTGCCCCCATGATAGCAGACAGCCTTGACTGTTCACTCTACTGTCTTCTACTTGTGGTTCTAGAAGGACCGTGCACATGTGGTCACCAAAGTAGATGGGAACAATTCAGTTGTCTTAAGTAACCATGTTGCTCTTGCAGAAGTCAGGGTGAGGGCAGATTCAGGAGGACCCTGGCAACATGGCTACAGCTCTTCAGTGGAGTGGGGCTGGGCCTCAGCATCTGGGTTCAGGACTGTCTCAACAGCCATGGTTTGGGCAGGAGGTTGGCTAGGCCGTGGTCCCGAGGGTGAGCAGGCAGAAGAGCACATCCATGCCACCATGCTCCACTGCAGCTGGGGCCTCCAGGCATTGGCCCCAGAGGCCCTCCCAATGCTAGACCTGTCCTCTCCGCGCTTTGTACCTGGCAGGCCATTACCTGCTGGTCCTTGGCCTAGAATTGGGTTTGGACTGACTGCCCGTGTGCGGTGGCCAGGAAGCTCTGGTTTTCCCACATTTTCATGCACCTGCCTTATTCCACCAGATCAAGTGGCTGCCAGTCTATGGGGATTTGGGATTTGGACCCAGGGTTTTTGAACTGTGCCTTGGTTTCCCTTCAGAAGCTCAGGTAATGCTATCATGAGCTTTTTCCTCTTTCCCTGGGCTGTCTCCAGACACATGGCCTCCTGCCTGAGCAAGTGCAGGCCCTGGAATCTAGTGCAGGCCATGCTCTGAGTCAACAGCCCTGCCTGGGGCAGGGGAGTGAGAATGCCAGGTGTCCTTGCAGCAAGCCCAGCAAGGACAGTCGGGCCTACCAACCCCCTCCTGCCTTCGTCCCTGCTGTTACCCTGCGGCCCTGGGCCTAGAGCCCCAAACTGGGTGACCATCTGCTGATGCTCTGTCCTGCCCGCAGATCTGGTGGCTGGACCCAGAGCTGACCTATGGCAACGCCAAGCCCTTCGTCTTCACTCAGGGCCACTCCGTGTGCAACCGTTCCTTCTTCCCGTGCTTCGACACACCTGCCGTCAAGTGTACCTACTCAGCTGTTGTCAAGGTCAGGTTCACCTGTCTCTTTCAGACACTGTTTGGAGAGCCAAACCTGGTGATTGGCCAGGCTGAAGGGAGTCCACCTACCTCCTCCTCCTTACTCTTGCCTGCTTGGGTTGTGGCCTCGGGGGCCTCCAACCACTGTCCTAGTGAAAGCCTGCTCTCCCCACTATGCAGAGGATCTACCAGGCAGGAAGGGAGACCCAGACACCACACACAGGCCCGATAGGGGTAGGGTCTTAGACCAGGATGAGGCCCCAATAGGAACAGAAGACTTGATGAGGGGGCTTCAGGTCACCCTGAACTGTGGGATGCCTGATGGGGACCCTGGGTCACAATCTGAGTTTGGCAGCCCCTAGCTGAAGCAGAAAGTTTGTAGACTAGAAACTTGGGGTTCCCAGTGTGAGCCAACTTGGGGGGCTATCTGAAGGGGAGAGTGGGCTCCTTGACCTGGATCGTAGGGGTCCCTCCTGTGGGATGTAGGGCTCCCGGATGGGGATATACTGTTCCCTATCACAGATACAGGGTTCTCTGACAGAGGCATGGGATCCTCCCTCAAAGATGTGGTTCCCTGCCTGGGAGGCGGGCTCTGCCTGGTGGGCCTCCGGTACTCAACCATCCCCGTTGCAGGCCCCGTCTGGGGTGCAGGTGCTGATGAGTGCTACTCAGAGCACATATGCGGAGGAGGAAGGCGTCTACCACTTCCACATGGAGCACCCTGTGCCTGCCTACCTCGTGGCCCTTGTGGCTGGAGACCTCAAGCCAGCGGACATTGGGCCCAGGTAGGGCCTCCTGTGTCCCACTGCTGCTATCCTGGGTAGCCAAACCTCAGAAAGAACTCCCCAGGCTGCACGCATGGCTTCCCTGCCCCAAAACTCTCAGTAGAGTATGGTACATGTGGCTAGCCCCATGTCATAAGGACTACTCTTGCCCCCTGCCTGTGCCCAGGGCCAGGCCCTCCTCACCCACATATACTGAGACCTGACAGACTGACCTCTCAGTGCCCTACCCCGATGGCCTGTCCTCACTTGCAAGACATGCCAGCTGGATGAACCTCATGCCTTCACGGGGTCCTTCAGTTCAGAGACAAAAGGGACTGAGCAATTCCTCAGAATGCAGTTCCCCCCTGCTGTGGGAAGGACAAGTGTGGCCCCCATGCAGAGAAGCAGGCAGGCTGGGGTGGGTGGCAAGGCCAGACAAGGAAGAGGGAGGGTCAGGTGAGGTGAGCAAGGTCTGGGCTGGTCAACCTTAGCCCATCCTGTCCACCTTGTGACAGAAGCCGTGTGTGGGCTGAGCCATGCCTCCTGCCCATGGCCACCAGCAAGCTGTCAGGCGCCGTGGAGCAGTGGCTGAGTGCGGCTGAGCGGCTGTATGGGCCGTACATGTGGGGCAGGTATGTCCTGTTCCTTGGCTACACTCTTGAGCTCACAGGAGGAAGTGGGGCCAGACCTGGAGCCCCTTGTCTGACCCTTGGGTTCCCTGTCTGGGGGAGGAAGCTGCACTGCAGGGCTAGGCTTCTGCCCCAGGTAGAGGGTTTAGGTATGGGCCTGCTGAGCCCCTCTGCTCCTCATCCCACCCCACATCTGTGGGCCCAGGTATGACATCGTCTTCCTGCCACCCTCCTTCCCCATCGTGGCCATGGAGAATCCCTGCCTCACCTTCATCATCTCCTCCATCTTGGAAAGTGATGAGTTCCTGGTCATTGATGTCATCCACGAGGTGGCCCACAGCTGGTTTGGCAATGCAGTCACCAATGCCACGTGGGAGGAAATGTGGCTGAGTGAGGGCCTGGCCACCTACGCACAGCGCCGAATCACCACAGAGACCTACGGTACTGCCCAGGACGGGTGGAGTGTGGAGCAGCCTCAGGCCATGGGGAGGGGCACAAAGCCTGGGCCCAGCTGTCCCCAGGTCAGGTCCATGAGGCTCTGGGCAGCAAGCTCCAGGGTCGTCACTGCTGCCTCCCGCAACTGCCCCCCCTCCTCTCACCTCCCCTGGGTTCCTCCCAGGTGCTGCTTTCACCTGCCTGGAGACAGCCTTCCGCCTAGATGCCCTGCACAGACAGATGAGGCTTCTTGGGGAGGACAGCCCCGTCAGCAAGCTGCAAGTCAAGCTGGAGCCAGGTACCTTCTCCCCTCAGGCCTCGCTCCTGGGACCCCCGTGCATGTGACACCTCTCACGGCCTCCTTGACTGCTATCGGCTTGCTCTGACTGGGGCTTCTCTGTACCCCCCACCATAGCTGGGTCGCTACCAAGGCCAGCTGGGTGCCTCCGGCCTCAGAAAAGGCCTCCACACTCCCTCAGCCTACTGTTGCCACCTCGCAGGCTCTGAGCACTGGTCACCATGGAGTGTGGGCCTTCATCCTCTCCCAACGGCCCTAAGCACAGCAGACTCCTTCATTACACACCCGGGGTGTCAGTACCTGTCAGGACATGTGAGGGACAGTTGCCCCCCACCCTTCCCTCTCCTCAGTGCCAGGCCACTGCCCTTTCCTGCCCCACAGGACATAGGTGGGTCGTTGGTAGCCCAGACAAGGTGTTCTCCTGCAGGAGTGAATCCCAGCCACCTGATGAACCTGTTCACCTATGAGAAGGGCTACTGCTTCGTGTACTACCTGTCCCAGCTCTGTGGAGACCCCCAACGCTTTGATGACTTCCTCCGAGTGAGCAGATGAGCCCTGCCACCTCCTGCCCTGAGCCCTGTCCCAGCTTGCAGGGAGGGGATCTGGGAGCTGACTGGGGCCTGGTTTGCTAGGGTGCCACCTCCTCCCTCTCCCGCCCCCATTTGGCCTCTCAGTGGGACCACATAATGGGGTGGCTGCCTTTGGGCCACGCTAGGAGTACACACATGGCGTATGCTCTGATGTGATATGCAGGCCCCAGCCCTCCAGGCCTGCTGAGGCCCTAACCCTTGTCATGTAGGCCTATGTGGAAAAATACAAATTCACCAGCGTGGTGGCCCAGGACCTGCTGGACTCCTTCCTGAGCTTCTTCCCAGAGCTGAAAGAGCAGAGTGTGGACTGCAGGGCAGGTTAGGCCAGCCTTACCTGCCCCAGGCCCAGGGTACCGGGTGGGGGGGGGGGTTGGGGGGAGGCTGTTGCCCAAGATGTTGTTTCTGCCTGGAAGAAAGCCCATTGGTCCTCCTGTCTTCCCTTCAGCCAGTCCTCACTGGTCTGTGTGGGCCCCTGGCTGGGACACCGTGCAAGCAGAGAGGAGGATGTGCTTCCCAGCCTGCCTAAGGAGGGAGGCCCTGGGGGCTTCCCAAAGGAAGTGCCACTTAGGCTGAGCAGGCTGAACTCGGCAGCCACTGAAAGAGGATTGTGAAAATAGCATGCAAAGGGCCTGGGGCAGGATCACCAGGGTGGAGGGGGTTGGCTGGAGTCAGCTTCCCTGCTCGTGTGACATGAGATCCTCCACAGGGTATAAGGGTTTGAGGCCAAGGAAGGGACTAGAGATCCCGAAATCCAGGGAGAAGCCAGAATTTGTTAGAGGACAGTGGTGAGGTATGGCTGGGAGGTTGGGTTTAAGACACTTCCTTGTCTTGTACCTAGCAGAGATATGAGGGAATGGGGGTTCTCGGTCACCAACCCAAGCCCTCTGGCCTCCAGTGGCTTCAGGGGCAGGCAGCCACCCCAGACTCCTGGAACTGCCCATGCCCCAGGGGAACCCTGGGCCTTAGACCAGGGCACTTGTTCAGGTCTTGTCCAGATAGGCTTCCCAGTCTGGAAGAAGAACCCAGGACTGCTTTTCCCTGCAGGGCTGGAGTTTGAGCGTTGGCTCAATGCCACGGGCCCACCACTGGCTGAGCCAGACCTGTCTCAGGGGTCCAGCCTCACCCGGCCTGTGGAGGCCCTTTTCCAACTGTGGACCGCGGAGCCCCTGGACCAGGCAGCAGCCTCAGCCAGTGCTGTGGACATCTCCAAGTGGAGGACCTTCCAGACAGCACTCTTCCTTGACCGGCTACTGGATGGGTCCCCGCTGCCCCAGGGTGGGTCCCGCAGCTACAGGGTGCCAGGGAGGGGATGTGGTGCCAGCCCAGCTCTGACTTGCCCACCGCCCTGCAGAGGTGGTGATGAGCCTGTCCAAGTGCTATTCCTCCCTGCTGGACTCAATGAACGCCGAGATTCGCATCCGCTGGTTGCAGATCGTCGTCCGTAATGACTACTATCCTGACCTCCACAGGGTTCGGCGCTTCTTGGAAAGCCAGGTGCGGCCACCTGCCTGGGGTCATGGTCTGGGGGTATGACCTTGCCTCAGGGGCCCTTCCCACCCCGTTAGACTCTCCCATCTGACCACTCAGGCCAGGCCAGGTATACCCTGGAGACTGGAGTAAGGAAGACATGGGAGTCTGAGGTGGGGGTGGGGCCACACACGGTACAGGTGAAAAGGACACAGTGGGTCAAGGCTCAGATGCCTGAACTCCGCCAGTACTTGGAGAGACCACAGAAGGAGAAGCTGGGAGCTGGAGTCCAGGGGTCCATGGGAGCTGCCCATGTCAGCCTTGAGCTGGCTGGGCCTTGGGCCTATACACAATCAAATTCTAGCTCTGGGAGCAGGGATTGTTCAGGCTCCTCAGGCAGTAGCCCAGGGTCCCAGGCCCAAGGGTTCTGGACCCCCATCTCCTGCCCTGCCTGCCTCTCTAGCCCAAGTTCCCTGTGACACAGGCCCCAGAAACAGCCAGAGTAGGGAGGTGGGGGTGAGAAGCTGATGGTGGGCCTGCAGCTGTGTGGGTCCAGGCCAAGGCCAGAATGTGCAGCTGGAGCAGGTGCAGGGACAGAAGGATTCCTGGTCAGGCAGGGTGGCACCCAGAGAGCCTGCTGGTGTGACCAGGTGTCTTCTCCAGATGTCACGCATGTATACCATCCCGCTGTACGAGGACCTCTGCACCGGTGCCCTCAAGTCCTTCGCGCTGGAGGTCTTCTACCAGACGCAGGGCCGGCTGCACCCCAACTTGCGCAGAACCATCCAGCAGATCCTGTCCCAGGGCTTGGGCCCCAGTGCTGAGCCCAGTGCAGAGCCCAGCACAGAGCTGGGTAGTGCTGGGGCAGACGCAGACCCGGACTCGCCAGCCCTGCTGCTCGGGGACGAGGCTCCCAGCAGCACCATCTCTCTCAGGGACGTCAATGTGTCCGCCTAGCCATGATGGCTGCTGACCCTCGACCTCCCAGACACCATGATTGTGCCTTCTGTGGTTCAGGCCGCCGTGACTGTGCCTCAGCTCTGGCCATGAGCTCCGCCCGGGCCCTTGAACCCCTCCCGTGGGCTTTCTCAGGCCAGGGGCATGGGGAAAAGGACCTGTATCTGGTGGAGGCCCACAGACCTGGGCCCACCCCATCCCAGCTCTCTTGCACTGCAGGCCCTGGGGCGGCCAGCACCTGCCACACCTCCCATCTTACCCAGGATGCCAGCACCTGCTGAACACTGCCCTGGGGACAAGGACCCCAGCAGTTCCACAGCAACCACCATACTGTGCCTTACATCTGCCTGAAGCCCAGGCTGCACCATGCCTAAAGTGCACCGCCTTGCAGAGCCCTGCACCCTGCCCCTGGGCTTGGCAGCCTTGGCTGGCCCCTGGCAGAGGGGCAAGAACACAGACGTTCCCTCAGTGTGGGGGAAGACAGGTGCCCCTGGGGAGAGCCTTAGCCGTCTCGCACATGTGATCCAGGCCACAAAGGCATGTGGTGCAGGGCTACCTGTCCTTGTGGCTGCCTCAGGGGCAGCCAGGGCTCTAGCCTGGGACGGCTGCAGTGGGGCACCATGGTGGCTGTCCCATTAAACCTCCACTTTGCAGACCTGGCCTCCCTTCCTGTTCATCCTAACTGTCCTCTGCATTGGCCCAACTGCTGGGGGTGGGACAGCCTGGAGGGGGCACCAGTTGCTCAGGAGCTGGTCACATACTTGACTGATATGCAGGCCCACGGGCAGGCTCCTGCCCAGCAGCCCCGGAGCACAGCCTGCCTGGGATGCTCAGGACATTTGTCACACCATCACACCCTCAATCTGGCCCATCTGACTCTGCTCAAACCTCAGCCTTGGCCTTTGACCCACCCTAAAGAGAATAAGGAGGAAGTATGGGTAGCAGGGGATGATTCTTGGAGGGTTGAGACTGTGGGAACTTCAGCTCATCCACCAGTATAGAGTCACTGCCACCATGTCAGGTGGACAGGTTGATGCCCCACTGTGGCAGCAGGTGGATGTGTGTACAAGGTAGTGGGTGGCACCACTTCTCATGGTCAGCCAAGGACTGGCTGGCAGCAGGGCCATCTGGGACCACACAGCACTCTGTAGTCTCCAACCTAGGCAATGTGCTATGGCCTGGAGGTGATCCAACTACCTAGTCACAGCCTCACTCCACACATGGTGGCCAGGAAGCAGGGAGAGCTGGAAGTGGGGGTGCAAATGACCCTGAGGCTACCACTTATACCATCCAGCTCCTGGTTACCAAACATCCCATGTATTCTCTTTATTCAGGAATCTCTTTCCCACCCCCAGGGGAGGCAATCCAAGAGCTCCCCAGTCATGGCTGGAGGCAAGTCCAGGGCTTGGGGTTGCCTCTTCTGAGTTCCATGTTCATAGACTTCCCATTTGCACTGGGTGAGACTCCACCCCATCCAAGGACAGAAATCAGCAGGGCACAGGGAGGGGGTGACTGTGATGATACCTTGCAGGAGGGGGAGGATGGGGGTGCCATCGGATCTCAAGCCCTGCCAGGTGAGCATGGCCACTCAGACAAGCTCTCTGTGGTCCTCAGTGCCACCCTTAGGAGGGCCCTCTCTCTTTCCTTTTTGGCTACACCTAAAGATGGGGTCCATACATTGAGTTTTATCAAAGTTTTGCCTCCGTGTGACACAGTGCATTTACATTCCAAATGTGTGTTTGCTGCTGGCCATGGTTTGCCCTGGCCAATTCAACGTCTTGTGACCTGTTGGGCAGCACCCCTCTTCCAGGGCTGAGTTCCAAATTAGGCTAATTTATGGCCCAGCCACAGGCAATGCTGAGACACTGGTGTATGAAGCGGCCATGTTTATTTCTCACTCCTGCTTTGAATTCATCTAGGATGGCAAGGATGGGGTGAGCTTCTTTATGGCTACCTGTGCTGAAGAAGGAGACATCTTAAGTGTTCCCTGACACTGTGCCAGAGATGAAGAGCTGTGGAGGGACTCATACCCACAGTGCAAGTCTGGAGGCACACCCCACCCCCAGCATGGGAGCAAGGATATTTGACAGATAACACCAATGACCACTGGAAGAGCTGAGGCCAGAAGAATGGAGCAGGAGTGGGGGGTGGGAAGGGGGTTCTGTATGTAGTCTCTCCAGTCCTTAAGTTCCAGATAAAGTTTCCTGAGTCCCTCAGGCTATGTCCTGTGCAGTCTATGAGTGTTTCCCTCCTAAGGCCAGAGGCTTTGGAGAGAACACTAGGGAACTTCCGGCATAAAGATAAGGCAAAACTAAGAATGCCCCACTTGGGTGAGTGTGAAGGACAATACAGTCAACAAACCAAGCTTACACTCAAGGAGGCAGGGCTGAAGAGGACTTTAGAACACATAAAATTAAAATCCCAGACGTAAACAGGCAGGGGATAAGTGTGAAATAAACTAAGAGAGGAATAAGTCCTTGTAAAACAGAAATATGTAGTTATGAAAAAGAAACCAGAGACCTTGGAAAATTTTTTTAAAGCAATTATTAAAACTTAAAAAATGAAAAATAAGAATGATCACAATGAAGACAAGACAATGCTCCAAAAGACAAGAGTATTATTTTTGTTTTCTTGTGGTATTGGGGATCGAACCTAGGACCTTGCCAACTGCTTTTAAAATGGACATGTGCCACCTCCCTTTGCTCACTCTGGCTTTATTTTTGTTGTTTAAAGTATGGAGTTTGAACTCAGGACCTCATGCTTGTTAGTGTCCTCCAGCCCTTTTTGCTTTACTTTTCACATAGAAAAATTCTTGTGCAGGGCCAGCCTCAGACTGACCCTCTACCAATACCTCCCTCACAGCTGGAATCACAGGCATGTACCACCACTCTCGGCTTGTTTGTTGAGATGGGTTCTCACTAACTTGCCTGGGCTGGCTTCAAACTGTGATTCCCCCCTCCGCCAATGGCTGCTTCCTGAGTACCTGGGGTTACAAGTGTGAGTCACCATGCCTGGCCTCTTCATTCACTCTTCAAAGCCCTAGCTTCTTACCTGAAGTCTACACCAGAGCCCTGGGCCTGGCACACTGCTCCTCCCTGGAGGATACAGCTGTACCCTCATGACTCCCCCTTCCCCATAAACTTCCAGAATATTTGCTGCCCCCTGCACATGCCTGCCCTTATCTCACCCCTCAGGGTCTGCAGGGGTCTCAAATCAGGGCCACAAATACTTTGCTACCTCCCCTCAAAAGGTGATACTCAACCCCACTCCCTTGGAATGTGGGCTAGACTTGGTAATCACAGAGCATGCCGTGCAAGATAGGTCATAAACATACTGCAGCTCCCCCTTTCCCCTCACCTTGAACTGTCTGATCAGTGAGGCACTCAAGCTGCCTTATGGAGGGCTACGTGATGAGGTTTCAGGTGAATTTGGAGAGTCCTCTCGCCCCAGCTATGCCTTCCGATGTGTTCAGTCCTGAACACATCAGTCAGAACCACAAATGAGCTGCTCCACAATTCCTGATCCACAGATGTGAGATAATGTTGACTGCTTTAAGTCTTTAAGTTTTGGTATAACTCCTTATGAGGTAGAACATAATTAATATAGAAAGTAAGTCTGACTTGCTACAAAGATTCAATTCAAGATTACTCCAACAAACTACATTTATAGTAGCACATGCCTAGGAGCCCAGAAGTGAGGTGACTCTGGCCTGGTCAAGGGCATGGAGGTATTGCAGACCCAGCTTCTTTCTTTCTGCTCTGGGTTTTCAACATACTGGTCCTCTGGCTATCTCCACGAGGTTGCAAGCTGACTGCACCAATTTCTACCGCTCCACCTGCACCCACTGGCTGGAGGCAGAAGAGGGTTGTCTACCCTCCTCTCTTCTGCAGGTGACAGAGGCCTTTCTGGAGGCACTCAGACTACTTACTGTGTCTCACTGCCTGGCACTGGGCACATGGTCCATTCTAAATTTCTGACCTTGAAGCTAGAAAAAGGTCAGGCTCTCCAGATGACTTTAGCTGTCATAAACCTAACAGAATTGAAACCAGGGTGCTTGTTGGTAAGGAAGAAGGTAGCAGCTGTGTGGCAGGTCCCCAGCAGAATGTAGTAACCTGCCAAACAAAGGCTGTGCCCTTGGCCCAGCCCTCATCCCTTCTCCTCTGGCTGTTGTTGCCTGTCCCTTCATCTGGGCACCTAAGATATCCTCTTCCTAAAGTTGGGTTTGCCTCTGTATCTCCATGAAAATGCAATAAGTAGCACAGAGAAGTGCCCGGTTGTTGCCCGCTGAAGAAATGGAGCTATGGGGATTCAGAAGAGGCTCTCCTGGTGAGGAAAGTCAGGGAACATTCCCTTGAAATGCAGGTCACTTGTCCAAAGAGAACAGGGGCAGCATGACGGGAGGCTGGAGGGTTCAGATTCTTTGGGATCCCCTCAACATCTCAGGTGTTTCAGATAGTCTGCTGACTGGGAGTGGGATCACTGCGGAGCACTATACAAACTGAAAGGTCCTCATGCTGCAGACCTTAAACTGTGACATGGGGTGGTCCTTGGGTGGGGACTTTTTTTTTTTTTTTTTTTGAGACAGGATCTTGCAATATAACCCAGGCTGGTGATCCTCCCGAGTGCTGGTATATAGACATATGCCACTATGCCTGGCTTGGGCTGAGACTTTAAACTCCTCAGACCCAGAGCCCACAGTTGTGAGGATTAGTGTCAAGAACCAGTTGTCTCTCCACTTCTTTTTATCCCACAACTCAGGCTGCTTCCTAACCTTTCCTGGTACCCCAACAGCCAAAGGCCCTACAATGCAGGCCTGGGGTGGGCCCAGAAAGATGAAGGAAATCCTCTCCAAATCGGCTGAGGGAGCATCTCTGCACCCTGGGATAGTGGAAAGATCACGGGGCATAAAGGGTAAGGGTGGGAACAGGTCAACTGAAACGCTACCCTAACACCATCTCTGGCTGACACACAAGTAGAGCTGGTCACTCACCCATCCTGGAGGCCTGGGCAACTGCCTAACCAGCAAAAGCTGTCTTCCTGCCTTTTCAGACCCTGGGGATCTGACTCTGGGTGTGGGCCCAGCCCTGGATGTGGATGTAGCCACAGAAAGCTGCTTGCTCTCCAGAGCTTGTCAGCATCGGAAAGGCTTCTGATGTGTCTGGATCCTGGAATAGCCCCAGCTATGACAAGTCCCTGTGGGTAAACCAGATGCCAAACACCCAGGACAAGGGGAGAATTTGTCTCAGTCCTTCAGGGTTTCCAGGTGAAGCAGAGCCAGGCCCTTCAGCTGTGGTACATCCACCACCCTGTGGAAGTCAGTGACATGGAGTGCTGGGCGAGGATGAGGCATCCTGGAAAGGTTCTGGACTTTTGTCACTCCTTTTTCTAGAACCTCAGCAAGATGAGTATCCTGGGCCCCAAATAAAGGGCCTGGTGGGGTCACGCCACCTGGAACAACCGTTACTGTGCAGGCCCTGCCCAGCCTCTGTAACAGCTGCAGCTATTACAGGCACCTGGAGCTCCCCAGCAGGCAGAAAATTAAAGGTAGAGGCTCCTGGACCAGGTCCAGTTGCTCTTCCAGCAGCAGAACCAACTTTTTCTATCTAACTCTGCCAAATACGGCTTCACTGTGACCACTCTACTACCCTGAGGCAAAATCTGAGCAGCCCTAACAGGGGGCAAATAGCTGTCGCTGGAAAGGGTGTGGGCTCCTTCTCCCCTTCCTGGTCCTATGTGAAGACCCCAGCCTCGAAGAAGCGGGCTTGGAGCGGCAGCATGGAACAAGCCTCGGGCGGGCCGGCTTCCTTCCTGGAAATGGCGACGGGCAGGTTTCCGCAGCAAGGGTGAATCCTCAAGTTACTGTCCTCATCGCCCCCTCCCCGCGGCGCTGAGCAGCCATGAGCTGTAAATGCAAGCCCAGGAGGTCACCACCATCCAGCCACCATGACCGGATGCCCGGCCATCCAGGAACCCAAGGAATACTCCGACCTCACGTCCTGTCCCCACCTAGGATCCAGAGCATCGGAACAAAAACCGCCTCGAGATAAAGGCCCAGGCCCGGTAAGGCCCGACCCCGGCGACGGCGCGTCTCAGGCGCCCCCCTCGAAGCTGTCTCATTCCCCAGGACAACACACAACAGCGGCGGGCACTTGAGCTGCCTTTGACGGCTCGCAACGCGCCTTCCCAAGCGAACTTCTCACTGGCTTCTCCCAAGAATCGGCAGCCGTGGGGGGGGGGGGTGTGGCTCTGTAGCGTTGATGCCTAGCGCGGGAGGGAGAGTTGCATGCTGGGATCCGTAGTCCGCGGCGCAACCTCGGCGAGGCGCCCTTTGAGGTTCCTGCAGCTACAAAACTTCGAATTCAAGCGGCTTGGGCCGCACTGTCCCTCGGACAAAATGTCCGCCAGTCCTTTAGCCCTAAGTCTCCGCCAGGGAAGCCCTGGTCCAGAAAGAGAAACACAGCCTACAGCAGAGGCTACGGCGCAACCGTACTAGGGCTGGGCCGGGAGCCCCGCCTCCTTGCTCGGATGTCCGGCTAGCGCTTGCCGGCGCTCGCGTGCGATTGGGCTACTGTGTCATGTGACCTGAGAGACGCGCCTGGTTGGCTGCAGTCGGGTTACCTGGGAGACGGAGCTGGCAGGAGCTGTAGCCAGGTCGGAACCTGCAGGTCTCCTGGGCGAGGCAGGCGGGGACGGCGGTGGCGGCCTCCCTCCCGGGCTGCTGTCGAACCTACTAGCTGCAGATGGGAGCCCAGAACACCGAAGATGTGGGCGGGCCTAGGCGAGACGCCGGCGCGGGAGCTCTTCCGGGACGCCGCCTTCCCGGCCTCGGACTCGTCGCTGTTTTTCAACTTGTCCACGCCGCTGGCCCGGTTTCGGGAGGACATCACGTGGAGGCGGCCGCAGGTGCGGTGGGTCGGTCTCCGGCCTCATGCTCCGAGCCTGGGCGGACGGGCGGCTTGGGCATGGGAACGCTTCCTGCACTGGTGGGCTCCCAGGTTTCGAGGGCCCCTCTGGTAGCTTCTCAGGTCGGTTCGGAGCGAAGGTCCGGACGGGATGGTGCCCCGCCCCTCCATCTGCTATAGCGCTATCCGCTCCAGGAGGCTGAAATCAATTGAATAAATTGTCTCTCAGATGTATTCGATAGAATGTGTCCTGGGACAGTTGCACTAAAATATACAGAGACCCAAAGTCGTTAACAGGAAATTACGCAGAGTTGCATAATTGGAAGCATTAACTTCCGAATCGCTCCCACCACACAGATTTGGCCAAGTGTAAGTTCAGCATATATGACGACAAAATTGCCCCATGGTTTTGCATTTTGCTTTGCACTTGTTCCCATAGGACTCAGTGTTTTGAGTGTGCGCACCAAGAGGTGACAAAACAGAAGGTGGGATCTTTACCATTAACCAGAGTATGTTGGGAAAAACCAAAGAGAGGCTAACTTATTATTGGCAGCTCAGGAATCCAGTGAATGGTAGAACCAAGCTGACCTACAGGTTGCAGAATAGGCAGAAAAGTTAAGGTCACCAACAATTTTTGAATCAGTTAATCAATTTGTCCCAGATGTATTCAACTGAACAGTTTGTCCCTAAGGGGCAAATCATTTGCTTGATTTGGAAGCTCAAAGTACAGCAAGACAGGCTAGGTATTTAAACAAACACAAATCCAGCCACACTTGCTTCTCTGAAGAAGCGTGTCTATACCTGGTTTCCAGTCTGCAGGTCTCTTCTGGCCACTAGTGGTCCTGCTCAGTTGTTTCGTTTACTTGTGTCTGCTCTTCACAGGCAGTGAGGTCCCCTCATATCCTAGGAAGGCCAGGCTGAGGCCATAAAGCAAAGTTTGGATGGTTTAGTTTCGGATTTTGTTCACCAGCATTTTATTGTAAATATTTAAACACAACTTGGGGGATGTACTAGCCTAGCACTTAATGTTTTTAGAAATGAGCTCTTCTCTGCTAAATAAGACTGCCCAGGGAACAGCCTTGTGCCACTTGGATGCAGTCAGGCTGGAGACATCCTGATGACCTCCAGCCTTTAAACAGCCGGAGCTGCTAGGCTCTGGCAACTCAGGTGGCCTTGATGAACAACCCAGTTTCCTGGAAGAAGGCAATGGCCACACCATTAGGATATGTGTCTTTATTTAAAAATGGATTTTAGGTGCAAGGAGAGGCTAGTAGAGGGTTTTTAGTAAAGGAGTGATTATGTTGGAATTATGTGGGGTTTTGTTTTGTTTTTTGCTGTACTGGGGCTTGAATTCAGGGCCTACACCTTGAGCCACTCCACCAGCACTGTTTTTGTGATGGGTTTTTTTCGAGATAGAGTCTCACGCACTATTTGCCCAAGCTGGCTTCAAACTGCGATCCTCCTGATCTCTCCCTCCTGAGTAGCTAGGATTACAGGTGTGACTAGGTGCCTGACTGGAATATTGTTTTAAGAAGCTTACTCACTGGGGACCAGGGCAGAGGATGACAGGGGTGGCATTAAAAGCTATTTAATACTTTTTTATTTTTTGGTGACTGTCATTTTATATTATAGCCATGTGGGTGTACCACCTGTTCATAATAATAATAACAGTAGTAAACAGGAAAGAAAAAGAACGGTGGAAGAAAAAGAGGCTCACTTGTGCCCTGGGTAGGAAACAAGATTGCCAGTGCAAAAATGTAGGTGACCCTTAAAGCGTGGTCCCTGGAGAAGGACAGCAGGCTCAGGTTGATGTGACAGCACAACTGGTGAATGGGGCTTTGGTGTAGATGGGTTTGAAGATGTTTTGGAGGAAGGTAGGCAGGCCTTAGTGATCTAAGGGTGAAGCTAAAAGAAGAAACAAAAATGACTTCCTGATTTCTGCTGGAGAGATGGTGGGAAATGGCCTGGTTCTGGGCAGAGCCAGAGCTCTGGAGTTGGGTTTGCCTCCCGTGTTCAGGTGGAGCTCTCAGGGAGTCAGGTTGGGAGCTCAGAAAGTACTAGGCTTGAGGCCTTCCTCTGAGCACTGGTGTATGATAGGCGGTCTTTCCAGTTCACGGCCTGCAAGAGCGTCTTAGGAGGCATAGAGGTAGAAGAGGGTTCAAGGCTGGGCCTTGAAGATCCCAACATGTTATCACCAAGCCGGTGCCCTGACCAGAACATGTGAGAACCGGAAGTCTGTGAGGGCTGAGGACGGGAGAAGCATGTGGTATCATAGAAACAGAGGGACTTCCTTGCCCACCAGCTGTTCTGAAAGCTGCAGGAATGATGACAGAAAGCTGCCATTGGAATTGACACTAGGAAGATGGTATTGATTGTGGCACAATTGAGCCAGAAGCCAGAGGGGCCAGTGCTGAGAGTAAAGGGGTGGAGGACAAATGTTCAGCAGCTCCTTTGAGAAGGATGCCAGTGAGGGGGAGCTTAGGAAGGATGTAGTGCTGAAAGGCAATTCCTGCTCTGTGTGGGTAGGAGCTGCCCCAGTAGTGGGAAGGGGGAGGTGTGACAGGAGTTGTCCAACGATGGTAGCAGGAGAGAGGTCGGGTCCGTTGGCTTCTGGTGAAGCAGGAGGCCCGGGTAGGCAACTCGGGGGCATGGGCAAGGGGAATGTGAACATTTTGAGAAGAGGGAGAAAGGGCAGGGAGTTAAATAGTCTGGGGAGTTGGAAATTAAGCCTTGTAGAGAAGCAGTAAGATTTCCAGTGGGATGGAGGACCCATCAAGAGATTTATCATCATGAATTTATAAAGTAAAACTGGTTTCTAAACTAACACTTAGCTGTTGCAAAAAGGGGCATAGTAGGATTCGTCTGGAGTTGGGGGTCTTATCAATAAGGAACATGGACAGAGATGGGTACCCCTGAATCTGAGCTTGACTGGGGAGCTGAAGCCAGGACAGTGGCTATGGAGGAGCCAGCTTCTTTCACCCTCCTTTTGGATGGGGAAGTTCTCCCCAGTCTGTCACCTGGACCCTGTATTCTTAGTTTGAACTGTAGCTATTAGGCCTAACCTAACTCTGGACAATTTTCTGTATTTCAGGAAATTTGTACCACACCCCAGCTATTTCCAGATAACCCATGGGAAGGACAGGTGAAGCAAGGGCTGCTGGGGGATTGCTGGTTCCTGTGTGCCTGCGCTGCCCTACAGAAGTGTCGGCACCTCCTGGACCAGGTATGAGGCACTTCACCCAGATTGTGACAGTGTGGGTGTCTCTTCCACTCTCTTCCTCCTGCCTGCCAAATGCAGGAAGCTCTTGCAAAAGCAGAGCTGCACAGCAGCAAGTCTGTAGCTGTGCCGGTAACCTCTGCTGTAGCCAGAAGCGTGGTTAGAGGGAAGTGTGAGGACTGCACAGCCCTGACTGAGGACTCCAGTGTGGCCCTCTCCCACAGGGGTGGCCCATCAGGGAGGCTCAGCCCTGCTCTGTGAGCTTCTGACTCCTGGGTTCTCCCTGTGTGTTTGGGATGAAAAGACAGGCCAGCCTAGTACATAGGACAGAGTTGGCAGAGGGGTCCTGTGTTGCTGGTTGATAATGTGTTTCCATAGCTAGCTGATTTTTTATTTTTCATAGCTTTTAAATATGAACAGGCAGACACCACAGAAGAGAAGCCTTTGCGGGTTTTCCTTCCCAGAGTATTCACTTATTTAGGTGCAGTTCATTGCTCAGTGTTCTAAATTAATGCAACAACATTTTTGGGAGGGCAGGGGGAGATAGCCACATGGCACTCCTCTCATGTCCTGTCCTTGTGCCTAGCGTGTCACAGTTGCTGCCTCTCCTCCTCACAGCCATATGGCCTTGACCTTTCCTTGCAAACAAGGGTGCTGGTACTGTTGTCATCATGTTCCCAGCTCCTGAGTAGAGAAGCCAGCAGTGTATCAAGTCCACCTAGGTGCAGAGCCCACACTTGCCTGCTACTGGGTCAGAATAGAAACCCTGGAAAAAACCAGCAGTGGACACAGTGGACCTAGTGGCATTAGGCTCCAAGCAGCAGACTGGGCTGATAGGCCTATGGGAACCTGCTGTTTGCAGCCAGCTCTGTGGAGAACTGGGTCACTCTGCCTGCCAAAGTCACGATTGTTTTGGATTCAGGTCAGATGCTTATTTGGGACAGTAAAACATAATGGGTGATTAAGCTTTGGGGGACACTTTGTTCCCTCAGTGTGGTACTGAGATATTTAAGTGGAAAATGTGTGGCTTTTGTGTGCAGTGGTTGAGTTTGCTGTGACGTGGACATGTAGATGTGGTATCCAGTAGTGCCATTTGCTCTCAGCAGACACCTGTGGCTTCCACTGTGGCCACGCTGTGATGAGGATGCTGCAGAGCTCCAGGTGATGCTTGTCTTTCATGTTGTCCATTTGCCTCTCCTTGTGCCTGACAGGTCTTCCCTCCAGGACAGCCAAGCTGGTCTGACCAGGCCTACCATGGCCTCTTCACCTGTCGAATTTGGCAGTTTGGACGCTGGGAGGAGGTGACCATAGATGACCGCCTACCTTGTCTTGCAGGGAGACTCTGCTTCTCCCGGTGCCAGAGAGAGAATGTGTTCTGGCTCCCCTTACTGGAAAAGGCCTATGCCAAGTACGTGTGCTATACAGAGGTGACAGGGCCAGGCTAGGCAGCTTCAGCATCTGGAACTGCCCCCAGATGGGGAAGTGCTAGACTGTAGGGCCTTTGCAGTCCTCAGGGTCTGGAACCAGTCTTGCAGGACACTCTGTTCTTGGACCTGTGATCTGCTCTTCCCCTCCCCTCATTTCACAGTCCATCAGAGTTATCACCTCCACAGGGAGAGAGCGTGTGTGTCCTTTTTTTCATCTGTCAGACCCAGCGGAACAAAGCCTCCCTGTCTGGTTTGAACATGCAGGACAGGTGACCTGTCTGCCCAGTTGCTGGGGAGGAACGAGCCCCCGGGCATAGTAGCCCTTGGCTTACCATGGTCTTTCTCGCAAGGCCTCATTGAACAGCCATGCCTCTTAGACTGTGTGTAGCATTTGGCTGAGGGAGGCTGATAGGCAGGCTTTTGAGCAAGGGTCTTAGGAAGGCTTCTGGACAGCATGGGTTTGAGTAGGACACAGCAGATCATAGCACTTGCAGATGAGACCAAGTCTCCACTCAGCAAAGATGTGGTAGGAGGCAAGAGGCGTGGGGGACGCAGGAGTCAGGTGATGATTTAGGGTGTGTGATGTACTATGGGAATAGGACAGGAGGGAGCCTCCGTGACGAGGCTTACCCTGCTGTGCTTCTGGTCCCCCAGGGTCCATGGATCCTATGAACACCTGTGGGCAGGGCAGGTGGCAGATGCTCTGGTGGACCTAACTGGTGGCCTGGCAGAAAGGTGGAACCTGAAGGACTTAGCAGAAACCAGAGGCCAGCAAGACAAAGCCCATAGCTGGGAGCACAGGACTTGTCGGCAGCTGCTTCGCCTGAAGGACCGGTGTCTGATCAGCTGCTCTGTGCTCAACCCCAGAGCAGGTAAGGTCTGTGGCCACAGCCTTTCACCACCCTGCCCTGAACACTGCTTAGCTTGTTACAGACCTGCTAACAACATCCTATTAGGATGAAGCAGGAAATAGGAAGCCTGTCCTCAAGAGGGGTGTTCTGGGTTTGTGACCTTCTTCCAGAGGGAGGTGACTCTTTTGATTCCACCAGTCTTTTCAACTAGAGCAAAGTAGGGTGTTGTGGTTCCTGTTGTACAGAGACAGCCTAGAAAGCAGGTGGCAGGTGCAGCGTTTATAAGCCAATCCTGTTATCATCCCTACCCCCGCTGACCCAGCAAAGTCCAAACCCACCTTACATTTTAGTGGCACTCACTAGGGTTCATTAAGGAAAGGTTGTTTATAAAAAAAGAAAAAAGTCATCAAATACAACCACTTGTGACTTCTCAGTGCACTTTGTCGGTTTTTTCAAAAACATGTATACAATTTCCATTCTGTTTTTGTTATGAACTGTTTTCTAAGTTATCACATAAACTTTATTAATGTCCTGTTTTGTTAATAGACCTGTCATGATTTTCTTAATCCTTTCCCTAATGTTGTGTATTTAAGGTTTTTCTAATAATTATAAATACTTCAGTGAGCATCTTTATGATTTATTATTCACATTCAGGTTTCTTTTCATAATACAACTTTGGTTCAAAAATATGAACACCAAAGAAAACTGGAACCTGTTGGCAGTCACACTGCCTGAGCCAGTGTATGGCTAAGGGTTAACAACACCCTGGTCAGGGGTCCCCATGGGCCAAGCTGACTGGCATGGAGGGTGCCAGCCACTGAGCCTCCCTCCTGAGGAGTGGAAGCTAGCCAAGGAACATCAGCTCCCAAAGCTGTTGATGTAGGGCTGCCACTTTGGCAGCCACTTTGGCTTCTCAGAGCCACTTTGGCTTCTGAGAACCCCTCCTTTCTGAAGAGCTGCTGGAGTCCACTAAAGTGTCAAGGACTGGGACACAGAATTTGAGCTGCAGGGCCCTCACTAGAAAACAGTGAGGTCATTCAGGAGCTCCTGCTCCCCTTATGGCCTGCCACCCTCCCCAAAATGACTGCTGTCTGCCTCTTCTACATCTGCGTCCCTCTACCTGAGATATCTGGCCAAGTACAGAGTCTCCTGGCCTTTGGTCTTCCCCGTTTGTTTTTGGTCCAAGTGTTCTTTGTGTCCAGCTGGCTTTGCCTGGAGGAGGACTCTCTTGCCACAATTACAGACACATCGATGACAGTCACACACTTGAGGGCTGGCCCTGCACTGACATACATGGTGACTGTTGAGACCCAGAGAAAGGAATGACTTACACAGCACAAGCCCTGGAGGCAGCAAGCCAGGGCCTAGCCCTCGGCTCTTCTCCATGGTACACTGTCAACGTGGCCTTCTAAGTGGCTGACCTATAGTTAGGAGCAGAGCTCCTATGGTATATGGGGACTTGGGCCTCCTGGCAGCCATGACTGGGTGGGCTAGGGCATCTCCTCAGCAGGGGACCTGTGTGTCTTTGTCGTTTGGAGAATTTGTGGTACTGTTCCTGCACATGACTGAGCTGTCCCTTGCACAGGTGCCAGGCTGCTGGGGGAGTTCCATGCCTTCATCATCTCTGATCTCTGGGAGCTCCAGAGTCAGGCTGGCCAGGGCATCCTGCTGCTGCGGATTCAGAACCCCTGGGGCCGGTGCTGCTGGCAGGGACTCTGGAGAGAGGGGTGAGTGCCAAGAGGGCTGGTCTGTGGGAGGAGGCTGATTGAGACTTTGCAGGGTGGGGGTTGCCGAGGCCCTAGTGCCTACCTGACCTGTGGTGGTTATCTGCAGGTGTCAGGACAGTACTTGACTGCTGTCCCTGGCAAGGCCCACCTAGTACGTGCTAACTCACTACCATGTTTCTGTCTGGACCTCAGAAGGCCTGGGACCATGGTGACCCTAGGGTCTGGGTCCTGTCTCGGGCACCCATAGGACAGAGTATGCCCGACCAAGGACTTGGGGTTGCCAGTGGCCAAAGTCCTCAGCTCGCTTTTAAGACCCGACTAAACCACGCCCCTTGGGGCGTGGGATCCCTGAGGCTCTTGGCCCCTGGCAGGGCCTGGTGCTGCTGACGAGGACACCATGCTCCACCTCAGTGTGGACGCAGCACTGCGGTACCTTCCACTACTGTAGCATCACTGTCATTCTGGGCTCTGACATGGCAGAGGAAGGAGAGAGGCTCTGACGGTGGCTACCACAGGAAACACCTCTCACCACAGGACACCTCTTAACCAACGAGGGGCAGCTGTCCTGCTTGTGAGTTGATACCACCAGCTCTCAGGAGAGGCCTCCGTTGAAATGCAGCTCCTTGCAGGGGTGAAGGGTGGAAGCAGGTGGAGCCGGCCGAGCAGTCTGAGCTCCTGTCCCAGCTCCAGGAAGGAGAGTTCTGGGTGGAGGAGGAGGAGTTCCTCAGGGAGTTTGACGAGGTCACCATTGGCTACCCAGTCACACAGGCTGGCCACCTACAAAGCCTCTACACAGGTAGGGCTGGCTAGTGGGAGTGGACTGTGTGCCCTCTGAAGTCAAGAAGCCGAACTGGTGGGTGGACCCTCATGGTGACCCTGGGCATAGCCCTTGCCCAGGCCTCATTTGTCCTTCCCAGGGGACTGGAGGAGGGAGACGGCGACTCTTGGAAGGGGCAGGCTGGCCGCCACCACCACAGGTGGAGTGTCCCACCTGTGCTGTGTCACGGCAGAGCCAGCAGGCTCTCCCAAAGCTGATGTGTGTGCTTTCCCACTAGAGAAGGTGTTGTGCCATGAGCGGGCCCTGCCTGGAGCCTGGGTTGTGGGGCAGTCAGCTGGAGGCTGCCGGAACAACAGCTGCTTTCCCTGCAACCCTAAGTTCTGGCTGCGGCTCTCAGAACCCAGTGAGGTGTACATGGCTGTCCTGCAGAGACCCCGGAGGCGTGCAGTCGGCCAGGCCCGGGCACTGGTGGGCCACAGTCCAGCCCCAGTGAACCTTCTGGGCAAGGACTACCAGGCTGTGGGCCTTCACATCTGGAAGGTAACTCTGCCTGCTTGGCCCCACGGTGGCTGGGAGTGCAGGCCTGTGGAAGCCTGGGTCCCAGAAGCACCTACACTTGCACACAGGTGACTGCCAAGGGTCCCTTCTCCCATTCCTTGGGCCTCCGACACCCCTAGTCTCCAGTAGACCCTCCCAATCCTATTCTGGGTGGCCCACCAGCTGAAGGAGAACAAAACAACAGCCTGAAGTGGAGGCCAGCAGGAGGGCCACCTGCAGGTCCATGTGACTCCTCTCCGGAGCAGGGTGGATGTGAAGCTGTTTCAGGAGAGATGAGGCATCCTGAGCCAAACCCCAGGACTGCTTCTTGCCCTGTGTCCTCCAGACATTGCTCACCTACCTGCCTCCCTCCCCAGACCCCACCCCTGCAAGGCAGAGATCTTCACATTGATGTCAGGGATTGTTCTGAGGCTCCATCTGACAGGCTGAGCTACTAATTCATAACAGCCATTTCCTGGAAGAATGGGTGGGTCAGGAACCTGTTGCCTGCTTGCTCAGTGGCTGTTTTTAATCTTGTGTATCTTGGCAGAGTGTGACAACTCACACCCGTGACTCTTGTACACCTGTGGGCATGACCTGCATCACGGTCCTTTCCTTTTGCAGAAGTTGTTAGTGATCTGTCCAGCAGTCCCTAGGCTACATTGGTCCTGGGGCTTTTTTGAGCATAGCCCTGTCTAGAATTGTCTGTTCTAGACCTGAGGGAAGCAGTGGATTGTGAAATTCCCAGCTGCCCTTGTGAGGATGGGGGGTGCTCTTACCTTGAGCCACAAGGCCTCTGCCTGAGCAGGGAGTTGGGAGGCAGAGGGCCCATGGGCTCGTGCTGCCTCTCCACTGAGCGTCCTACCTGCACTCTCATAGGTGGAGAAGCGGCGGGTCAGCCTGCCCAGGGTCCTATCTGCACCCCCTGTGGCTGGCACCACATGTCACGCATATGACCGTGAGGTCCACCTGCACTGTGAGCTCTCCCCAGGCTACTACCTGGCTGTCCCCAGCACCTTCCTGAAGGACGTACCGGGGCAGTTCCTGCTGCGTGTCTTCTCCACCGGGAAGGTCTCCCTCAGGTGAGGAGACAGTACTGGCTGATTTCCCCATGCTGGGGTTGAAGCTTAGGGAGGAACTTGTCCCAGGGCAGGACTTAGGTGGCTTCCCTCTGGGTGGTAAGTTCATCTCAGAACATGCTGCCAGTGCCTCTGTGCTTGTCTCTCCCAGCAGTGCTGTCAGGCCAGCAGCCAAGGGCGCCTCCCCTGGGACAGCTCTGCCTGCTGGTGAGTGGGAGACCGTGCAGCTTCAGGGCCGCTGGAGAGCTGGCCAGACGGCAGGGGGCAGCAGGAACTTTACCTCCTACCCCTGCAACCCGTGCCTTCCCTTCTCCGTCCCTGAGGGTGCCAGTCCCCGCTGCGTCCGCATCTCCCTGCGCCAACACTGCCGGCTCAGTGACAGCCAGCTCTACCCCATCGGTTTCCACGTCTTCCAGGTGAGCTGCAGCTGGGCCTTGACATATGAGACCTGCCCAGCTGGCCGGTCTCATGGAAGACGCACCTCCAGGTTTCATAAAGTCTATATTCACAGGGGTCAGCCCATGCACCTCCTCAGCCATTTGCCCTGTCTTGGAACATCTGTACCTGCAGTCAGTGTAAGCCTTCCACCCTGGGGGTTCTTGGTGGAGGCTGAGCCCCACAGTGGAGTGGATGTAGCCCCAAGAAGTGACTGCAGGGAGGCCTCACCCACTTGTGCCCCAGGGAGTGGTCACACTCAAAGGAGCTACCCCATGTCACACCACCTGCCCTTCCCAAGTCACTGAATACTCCAGGTGGGGCTGGCAGGAGGCTGCTCTGCAGAAGAGGAGCCATAGGTCATGGCCTAGGCTCCTGGTGGGGAGGGCACCATAGGAGCCAGAAGAACAAGAACAGGAGGAGAGGCCCATGCTTGGCCAAGGCCAGCAGCACGATAGCTTGCCTGCCAGCTGGGTGCTGCTGCCATAGTCAGCAAGCAGAGAGGATCCCAGATAGATACAAAAGCAGTCCTATGATGGGGACCAGGAGCTCCACTGCTTGTGCAGAGCCCTCTGCCAGTTGCTCTTACCTGCAGATAGCTCTGGGTGGGAGGGGCTAATGAGCCTAAAGCCTCACCCGGTGCCTTCCTCAGCCTTGCTCTATTTTATCTCCTACCAGTGGGCAGGAAGACACTAGGCAGATTTGGAGTCGGAGAAAGAGGGAGAGCTAATGTGCTAGAGGTTATGGGTTGCAGGCCACAGATTCCATGGTGATGATAAGGAGGTTCTCCGTTCCACACCACACAGGTTCTGCTTGTTCCAGGGGCCCCACTTTATGGAGAATGACCTGGACTGTCATGGGGAATAGAAATACATGTTCCTGGAATGCTGGTGGCCTGGGAGAGGAAGGAATAGGACCTTCTGGTTAAGAAGGTTCTATGCTGCTTGGGAGTGGGGATTGCATTCAGAGAACTGGAGGGGACTCCTGGAATCTTTCCTCAGGGCCACCAGGATCTCTGAACAAGTTGCCAGAGCCCCATTAGAGCATGCTGGGAGATGAGGTGTTCATTGTTTAAAACAAAGCCTCTGGGTGATGGGTTCCTCTAGACTTGGGTACCACTGGCAGGGCCTCTGGCAAGGGTGACCCAGTCTCGGTGAAAAGGTGAGCCCAGTGTGTGGGCCTGGCAGGTCCTCCTTGGAAAAGGAGTGTGTGACTTGAGAGAACTGGGGGCATCTGGCACCACAAGATCCAAGCAGTTTTTACCACACTGCTGCTGACCCTGGCATTGTGCCCTTAGCTGGGGCTGTGCAGAGAGCCTGTGATGCCCCCTGCGCAGGCCTCCCTAGGCTGAGCCCATGATTCTCCCAGGTTCCAGCAGGTGATGAGAGCCAGGGCACACGCCCCCTACTACTCCAGGAGCCACTGCTGAGCTGTGTGCCACATCGCTACGCCCAGGAAGTGAGCCGACTCTGCTTCCTGTCTGCAGGAACCTACAAGATCGTACCCTCCACATACCTGCCGGACACAGAGGGGGCCTTCACAGTGACTATAGCAACAAGAATAGATAGGTGGGGCTCCAGAGCTTGGTAGATAGGAGGAGGCTAGGGTCCTCAGCACCCACCCTCTTCCCCGTGGTTCTCTCTGCCTGCCTCACATGCCCCATCTCTAACTGCCCCAGCAGAGAGCAGAGAGCAGAGGTGGGCATGTGTACTTTGGGACTTCTTGCAGGTCTGAGCCTGAGAGGAGGCCTGGTGGGCAGTGGGTAGAGAGCACATAGCCTCTTCTGTGTGAAAGGCAGATCTGAGGACTCAACCTGGCACTCTTTCCACAGGCGGTCCATTCACAGCCAGGAGATGCTGGGCCAGGTCCTCCAGGAGGTTTGTATGCAGTGCCACCACTTGGTTTGGCTCACCTGCCTGTGGCTGCCTGGTGGTCTAGGGTCTTAATTCCCTCAGCCTCCTCCCAGCAGTGGGTCACCTCTGCGTGGGACATGAGGTACCCTAGTCTCCCATGTGAGAGCCACAGAGCAGGGGCCTAAGGGGCTGGGGCTACATTTCATCCTTGGTGGTGTTTATGGGGAAGGGAGCAAGGCTGGACCTGATATCTTCTTGCAGGTCTCCTTCGTAGCAGTGATGAAAACCTAACTGGACATCCCCATGTGCCAGCTGAGGTGGCTGGGGGCCCAGCAGAGCTGTCACTCCCAGCAGCTGGGACATCTGTGCAGTACCTGCTGGATCAGCACTGTGGCAGCTGGCTCTGAGCCTGGGTCACCTCAGCTCTGCAGGGTGACTGTGTGCTGGGGGCCCAGAGTGGGGTGCCCTGCCCTGAAGAGATGCCAGTCTTGGGGTCCAATAGGTGCTGCAGGAGGACAGGAACTCCAAGTGGCAACTTTGTTCCACACCCAAGATCATGAGATTCCAGGGTCCCAGGGCCTGGTGCTTGAGAGGCTCCTAGAATCCCACATCATCTTCCATTGACTCCAGACAGGCCTCATACCAGGCAGGAATATATTGTGATAAATGTTGAAAACTGTTTATTACTTGAAATATTTTTATGATGTGACTTTATAAATAAACATGAGCAATTTATGAATTGTCCTGTTCCATGAAGCTCAAGAGTCAGTCTTCCACCAGGCAGGCTGTGGGAGCAACCAGGGGGCTATGATGGTGAGGGAGACGGGGGCTCAGGGCGGTGGGTGGGGGAAGGCTGCGGGAGCAACCAGGGGGCTATGACAGGGTGAGGGAGACAAGCTCTGGGAGGCAGGAGGGATGACCCATAGGTGCTGAGTGAGAAGGAGAGGAGGGGCGGGCACAGGACAGGAGGCAGAAGGGATCCAGCTGGCAGACAGGAATGAGTCAGGTCAGAGCCTTCTGAGGGACCTGGGAGGGAGGGAGGGAAGGAAGAAGGGCCAGGCAAAAGACACTGCCTGAAGTTGGCAACCAGGAAAGATGGCTCAGGAATGGCTGCCGGAGCAGGTGCCCCTGCGGGAAGAGCTGATGTCCATGTGGTTCTGCTAGCCAGATTCACCTTCAAATTGTCCTGGGATTATTGCCTCCCAGGTCTCTATCTTTGTGCCCCCAGCATAACAGCAAGAGCTGACTGTTGCTGAACAGGGCAGGGGTTAGTTTCAGATGCCAAAGGGGGAAGCTGTCATGAATCCCTCTAATTCACCACCTGTGTCCCTCATGGCTCCAGAGGCCTTGAGCCTGGAGCCCCTGCTGTCCTGATGATGCTCATCAGAGGCTGTGTGCTCAGGGATGGACCTGTGCCCACTGTCCCATGCACACTGCCCTTCTGACCCAACCCCCAGGAAAGCTGCCTGACCCTTGCCTCCTTTCCTCCACCAACACCCACCACTGTCTTCTGGCCCTCCAATAGCAGGGCTTCCTCCACATGGATACCAGTACCCTAGCCCCTGGGTTGTCTGTCAGCATAAACTGGCACAGGCTTGATCTCACAAACCCTGCTGCAGCTCTCCTAAGTCCAGTGACATCGCTGATTTCAGGGGAAGCCAAGGCCCACCTGGTACAGAAACTTGGGGCCAGTAGCGAGAAGCTGACCACAAAAGATCCTGAAGGTATCACGCTGACCTATCATTCACAACACTAGGCTGATGCAGGTAGAGAGCAAGAGGTGGCCAGAGGCAGACCTACACCAAGATCCTTGGGACCTATGCTGAAACTACTACTCAGACAATGTGTGGGGAGCCAGCCCAGGGTTTATTGTTTGTGAAGAAGCCCTGCAGAAGGGGTCTCCAGCAAGAGAGCTGGAGCCCACAGCCACTTACAGACGGGGTAGATATGAGATTGGTGGAGAAGTCCTAGGAAGGTCACCTGGCAGGACAATCCTCAATGTCCCTCTGACCCTCTGAGATAATGGCTTAAGAGCAGGTCATTCCTTCTATGCCAGGTGGGGAGTTTCTAGTAAATGGCTAAAGGTGGATGTCTATTTTTGTTTAGGACTGGGTGGAGGCTTTCCAATAAGTCACCTTCGGTGGGGGGGCAGTTCTAAAATGGCTTCCTTTTGTTCACCCTAAAATTCCTGTCTTTTGATATACATATTTGTAAAAGGGAATGGGCCACAATGTTCCTCTACTTCCTGCTGAACAGGGGTGTTGAGGTCTCTTAAGGAGAGAGGGTATCAGGGAAACTGAACTGAGTTGATCTGCTTATGGGTAGTGTCCTGGAGGAATGCCTGGAGTCTCTGGGAAACAAAGTGAGAAAGGGTTTGAAAAGGGCAAGGTCACAACGAGGAAAAAAAATAAGGGGTCCCAGCAGAGGAAGGACCCATGGCGTCTACTTAGCTCAGGAAGACCACTGTTTGCAGCTCTCCGTTATTCATTGTGGGACAGTGGCAGCACATTCCTGCAGTCCCTTAGCTGCATCACAAACCTCCTGGACTGGTTGATGTAAAAGAAACATTGACATAAAAGCAGCATTCCCTGGACAAGATTTTGAGAGGTGACCTGAGTGAAGGAATGGAGGCTTTGCTTTGGGAGATAAAGTGAGACATGCAGTTCGGCATGACAAAAACAAAGGGATCTTGGGGTAGAGACATTGACTATAGGTTCAAGTAGACAAAAGAACTGGGACAGGGGACAGAGGTATGTAAACAGTCCCAACCACAGGTGTGGCCCTGTTGGACATATCTCAGTTTTTGTTTGGAGAGAGGTTCCAGAGTTGTTATCTGGAGGGTGTTCCATCCTTCAGCAAAAGCAATTTAAGTCTTAAGTCAAAATACTTATTAAGTCTAAAACTAGAAACACCTTTATAATGTAGAATACAGAGTAAGTAAATGTCAGAATACTCCCAGTTAAATTAACTGAGTAGGGGAAAATTACTCCATGAGCATGGACTACTAAAAAGATAAATCTGGAGCCAGCAAAAACAGTTTGTCTTAAATAGAAGGCCTTGGCCAAAAACAGGAGTTCGCCTTCTGTCAGAGGTGCCTACAAGGGCTTGGATGGCTAGTAGCCATGTGTAAGATTGCTTCTTTAAAACCTCTTGGCTTTCGTAACTTTTGTCAGGTCTAGCACAGGTAACTCCATCTGAATTGTGGCAGCTTTCTCCTCGTCTCTCTAAACTGTCTCTGAACAGTCTTCTCTGAAGATTTTGTCAATTAACCATTAATGAAAGTCCCTTGCTGCGGGATTAGCTTTTCCCCCATGATCCCACATTGGAGGGGAAGCTTTGGGCAGGTCAGGTGCGAATCAGTGCTAATTAAAACCCATTTGGCCAAATTACAAGCAACAAGAGATTTAGAAGAGGCTTACCTGGCACCCGTTTTTGGTTCTGTCTGGACTATAGATGATATCCTGGCAACTTAAAAATGCTGCAGAATGTCAGCAGACAACAGTTAAAGGTTTTACAAGGAGAATACAAAAGCTAGTATCTAAAAGGTTGACTCAATTGAAATATAAGTACCTATTAGAGTCATTTTGGGGAGTTTGATTACAAATGCTCCTGAGAAGGACCCAGACTGTAAAAGACTTAGAATAGCCATGGTTAAAACACTGAACAGTTTAGGAAGTGTCAGAACATTTAGTCATTTCCATTGCAGACAGCATTTTAGGAAAATAAAATGACACTGTTAATGGTGCTGGTGCAGTCTGTGATCAGAAGACTTCCAAATTCTTTGTATTCTACCAGGAAGAAAGCATGGCACGACACGTGGGCATAAAGGGAGTGTGTTAAAAGTTAGGGAAAAGAAATACAAAAGGGAGCATGGCGGAACCCAGGTGAAATCCAGAAGTCTAGAGACAGGGCTTTCCTCTCAGGTGCTTTTAAAACCTAGGATAACCGATGGGAAGAATCAGGTGGTTCCCGCCCAATAATCAGGAGTGGGGTGGGCCATGGGCGGTTCCCAGCCAGGTGAGGACGGGTTCCGGAGCATGGTTAATCTGAGATGTAATATTTTGTTGTGAGTGGAGCTTTCCCTAATTTAGCCTGCCTCAACACCATTAAAACAGCAACACTAAGTGCTCCTTGTTACAATTAGGAACACATGGACACAAGCCTGCAAAAGTTTAGCATTAACAGTTTTTTCTTGTTTTTTGTTTGTTTTGTTTTGTTTTTCTGCAGTACTGGGCTTTGAACTGAGGACCTATGCCTTGAGCAGTTCCACTAGCCCTTTCTTGTGAAGGGTCTTTTTGAGATAGGGTCTGCCTCCTGAGTAGCTAGGATTACAGGCATGAGCCACCGGTGCCTGGCTTATTAACAGTTTTAATTTGGAGACATCTATATGGTAAAGGTTTCTTCCTAAGTTTTGTATTTTAGAAGGCTTATATATTTGGGGGACATAAGTACATTTTAATATGTAAGAGAGGGAGCAACAATTAGCATCACAGCTACACAGATGTCGTATATACCTGTTAACTTTTTTCTTAGAGTAAAATTTAGAATTTGTGGCTAGGTAGATAATAGGTGTACAGCACTGACAGAAGTCTTAGAAGTTAGGGGGACAGTGCTAGTGATCCCAAATAGCCTTATTTCCTAATACAGAAGTTCATTTCATTTATACAGTAGCACTCACTTGACTAGGACAAATACAGGCCAAGTTTTAAATAGCAGGATTGCCCAAATGGCAGGATTTTCCTGACTGTTACTGATTACAGAAGCAGAAACTTGCCAGGAGTTTCGTTGTATACACCAAAGGTTGGGGTGGAATGCTTTTGGGTAAAAGAACTTTAGGTGGTCATTTTACATATATTAAATGGACACATCTTTAAGTCTACAAATGTTTGTACAATATTTAGATAAGGTCTGGACACATGAACGTGAAAGAGGCTCTCCGCTCCCACCACTTCATGGAGGGGGAGGACAGTTTCTGGGTCTGGAGAGGAGGAGGGTAGAAGGAACGGGATCCCACGTGTGGGGGCAACAGGGAAGATGTGGGGGCTGGGGATAAAGTAGAGGGGCAGAACAGGTCTTGGCTGGGGGAGGGCAAGCAGGTTGGGGGGAGGGCTGGACAAGAAGAGCCTCCTCTGCTGGGTTAAAATCTGTGAAGGACAAATTTTGAAGGCCAGTGTTGGATGGAAGTCCAACAATGGCAGAGCCAGCAGGGAAAGAAAGGAAAGGGTAGGAGAGGCAGAAGGTGACAGGGAGGAAGGCTCCCGGCTCCACTCAGGGTCTCAGCAATGCCTTTTCTTGTCATGACCCTGACAGGACACCAAGCATCCTGGGATAACTATCAGCCAGAGTACACCTGTGACCAGGACCACCTAACGAGGTAACCCCTAATTGCCCCCAACTCCTCTTCTACTTAAACCTAAAGTTTATGTCAGTATCCTGAAGACAATCTTGGGGCCAGCAGCTTCCTGACACAGCTGTGTTCATTTAAGTCTCCTTTCTCTGCTCTTCACCATTAATTGGCATATTGGGACTGGTGGCCGAACCTAGTCCTATTGAGACTCCTGGAGCCCAGTCTTTTCACCCTAAAACTCTGGTTTCACTTACATCCACAGAGGGACCCTGGGGAGGTACTCCCTCTGGCCTGACAGCTTCCAGAAAGGACCCCAAGGTTGTGTCCTCTGGCTTCTGGGGAGACAAGCAGGAGTTGACCACAGGCTGCCTTCACC